TTCTGTGCTAGGGACAATCACAGGGCCCTGCACACATGCTAGGCATTTATTCTACTTCCGAGTTGCATGCCCAGCCCACCCACTCAGTCTTTATGTATAGTGTGAGCTCATGTACACAGCTGGACACCTGTCCAGTCTTTGCTTAATGTGGGCTCATGTACTCACACAGACACCTGTCCAGTCTTTATGTGTAGTGTGGACTCATGTACACAGCTAGACGCCCATCTGGTCTTTATTTAGTATGGACTCACAAACACAGCTCGATGTCACTCTTCATTCTAAGGCCATTCCTTTTAGCCAATGCCTTTCCAATACATGTCTACCATCTTGCTATTTAAAAAATTTCCATTTACTTTGTTCTTTTTTCTTTTCTCAACTTTTTTTTTCTTTTAGGTACTGGGGCTTGAACTCAGGGTCTACACTTTGAGCCACCCCACCAGCTCTTTTGTGAAGGTTTTTTTTTTTTGAGATAGGGTCTCACGAACTATTTGCCCGGGCTGGCTTTGAACTGTGATCCCCCTGATCTCTGCTTCCTGTGTAGCTAGGATTATAGGTGTGAGCCACTGGCACCCAGCCTTTTCTCCACTTTTTGAGTGACTGGTTGATGATCTTTTAGGAATCCATGTTTTGTTCCATTACTAGTGAATCCTTCTTGGTTTGCTTTTTAAAGGATCCACTGGGTCTGCTCTGTGTAGCTTTAGCTCATCTGGGCTGTACTACTCTTTGTGTGAGCTGCTTATAAACACCACCATGCACTCCTATTGCTTTAGTGCCAGCAATTATTTTTTATGCTTACCCAGATATTCAGGTTTCTGGCTGTCTGGTTCCTGTTCTGTAAACAGCTCAGGTCTGGACTCATTTTCATGCCCTGTGATGTCCAGATCTTTTTGGCCAGCTGTCACTTTCCACATCACACATGGCAATGTCTCAGGGGCCTAGGGAAGTTTCTGCAGGCTCTGCCTCCAACCCTGTGAATGCTGACCTGTCTCCTCTGCCATGCTCAGGGCAGTAAATGGGTGTTTGTGGCCCTCTCTGCTTATCCTCTTCACTCGGAGGCCCCTTCTGTGCTGTTCTTGTAACTGTTTTATGAATTTTTCTGTTTCTCAGTGGCCTGGGAAGGAAGGGCTCCCTGTCACCCATCAAGTTTGGTAGCAAAGGCTTAACTATGGCTTCTTACAACATGCCCAGTGAGTAGGTGGACAGTGTCCACCACACTGGCTGTGGTGAGGAGACCACGGGAGTGGTGTCTACCCCTTACAGATGACCCAAGGCATCTTAGAACAGAGCAGGCATGGTCAGAGACAGACACATTTCAGGCAGAGTTAAGGATTCTATGAAGGCCTGTGGTGAGGGGGAGCCATGAGGCAGACCCAGTGATCCTTTAGCTTGGCTCAGGAAAAGTCCAGCTGTAGTCAGAGTGAGAGGCCTGCAGCAGGTGCTCGTAGTTCTGGCTTGAGCAAGGACTGAGGCCACAGCACTGGCGCACATGACACTGACCCAGGTCTTCACCCAAACCACAGAATGCCCGGGCATCACTGTGGGATGAAGGCTCCCACACCCAGGCGGGTCACCTGAGTCAGGGTCTGGCCTGGAGCTTGGACCTGCCAGCTCTACCAGATCTGTGGGGTGGCTCAGTGGGTGTGCATGGGCCCACAGTGATGACCACTCTGCAGAGTGCACTACAGGCTGAGCCAATCTCTCATACCACACTCCTAAGAGATGCTCAGGGACAAAGTCCCTGATTTGAACCTTGTCTCTGTCAATTGCCACTCAACCCTGGCTGCTAAGTGGGCCTGGACCCCCAACCCAGCCATGGTGCCCCCCCTCCCTCCTGAGGACTCGGCTCCCTTTCTGGTCACTTCCTGGGTGACACCCTCACTCATTAGCCTCAGAGTAAAGCCAAGACTGTGGTCCCTGCACTCCCAACTCCACCTTTCACTGCTCCTGGAACCTCTTGTTGCTCGCCACAGGTAGCCTGTGTGCAGGTTCACAGTCAGGAATTCTATGAGGGGCTCAGTGTTTGCTGAGTGAATGAAGGAATGTGCCAGTGCAAGGCCAGCAGTGGATCCTCACAGTGCCTGGCCCAGAGAAGGCTGGGTCCTAGACCCCAGCCTGCCTCCTCCATCTCCCTGACACATGGTATGGGCAACACAACCACCTGGAAACCACTGCCAGGGTCTTTGCAAGATCCACCCCTGCCCAGGCTCAGAGCCCAGGGTAAACAGGCCCAAGGAACCTTCCGCAGTACATGTCCAGGCTATGTCCACCCTGGTTGAAGGTGTAGGCAGTCACTGTGGCAGTTTCAGCTGCCACCACAAGCCAGACCCACCATAGCCCCTAATGGGCTCAGTGGGGCCTTTTGACTGACACAAGGACAACCTGACCTGGTTCTCCTGAACCCAGTGGGGGCATGAATTTTCCCAGTCTCCTGGCAGTGGCTGAAAGTATGCCCAGGGAAGAGCCTTCCACCATCCCACACCATCCAAGTCCTCAATTCCAGGAGAGCTGCACCACGGGCTGGATATGGCCACTGACCCAGCTCAGACCCAGATGTGGGGGTTCTCACTCATCCCTGTCCTCCCACACCAATCCTGGGGCTTCCATTAGCACAAGCTGGAGCTATGGTGGCTCCTCTTTGCTGAGAGACAGTGACAGATCACCAACCAGAGCTTTCCACTCACAGATGCTGGCCACTCCACCTGAGTTTGGCCACCTTCCTCACCTTTAGTGCTGGGCAAGCTGTGTCCAAACCACAGATCGGTCAGCCCTCCTAGGTCTGTCGGTGCCAGGAGGGGCAAAGGTATGGGGACCTCAAGCTGGGAACCCGGTGCATAGAGGGCTGCAGGCCTCTGTGGGAAGACGGCAGGGCTGAATGCACTACCCCTCAGCCCCTAAAATGCCACCTGAGCTGTGCATTCCCACACCCCCTGGGGTTCTCCCTGACCTGCACCCCAGTATGCTCACTCAAGATACCTTCTGAGGTGTGCCCAGCATCCCTGCCCAGGATCCCAACCCCCAAACCACCTCTGCTCAGGTGGGCTCCTGCCAGGTCACAGTTCCATGCTCCTCTTCTTACCTGAAGGCCCAGGGTCACAGGTCTGGCCTGCCTGGGGAAGAATGCCCACACCAACCCAGGGAACCTAACATTCCAGATGCCCCAAAAGCAGTTCCCTCAAGCACTGGGCTTACCATGAGGGTCTGACCCTCACAGGACACAAGGGCAATATATGCAAGACTACTATGAAGTGCTCTAGCCTTGCCCAAAAGCCTTGCCAGCTAGGCCTGTGTCTACCCAGAGAGTACTATGAGCCCAGTGACTCCAGGTGGGGTATTACATGCATCCTAGGGAGTCTCACGAGCATGCGTGTCTGGGTTGTGACGTACGTGTCCATGCAAGTGTGGCCTATCTGCGCACCTTCTCCAAATGCACGCTTCTGCATTCATCCGTGTGCACAATTTGCTTCTGCACACATTTCCATGTATACGTGTCCATAGTGTGCCTCTGCATACACAGATGTGCACAATTTGCTTTTGGATTCATGTATGCTTCTGTATACACCTCTGCATACGCATGCCCCTGAATGCATGTGAACACATACTTCTACACACGTGCTTCTGCATACACCGTATGCATGCACAGCTATGCTATGGGCGGGGAGAAGGGCATACTGTGACCTGAGCATGAGCCCAGCTTGCTTTTGTGCTCCAGTTCTCTTGGATGGGGTTTCTGTATCTTTAAATCAAGACCTTTCCTGTCCTCTTCTCTGCCCTCTGCACAGGTGACCTGCTGCCTGGACCTGCCCATGATTCATGCCTCTGGTGGAGCTTTCAAGGTGAAGGCCAGGTACAGGGAAGGGTCCTGGTTCAGGGAGGACGTCTGGGGGTAGCAGTGTCAGAGGGGTGTGTGGTTTTCAGCATTAAGACCAAGGTGCTAGAGGAACTGGGGTCTAAGTTCAAGTCTCAGATAAGGGAGAGGGTTTTTGAGAGCTTCACTGCAGCAGTGGGGCAGAATGAGTGGGAGAGATCCCAGAGGGGCAACGGGAGCCAAAGGCATGCCTATCTGATTGGGGAGGGGGCGGAGCAAGGGTCTTGCTTCCAGACTGATCCCTTACCCCCACCTTGTGACTCCAAGGATGCCCAGGACCTAGCCCACCCTCTTGCCAGCACTAGGAGGCCAATTCCTGACCCTGGGTCTCACTGGCTGACCTCACAGACCCTCAGGTCTCAGCCCATTGCTCTGGATCTGGAGTGGCACTGCCTGGAGGTTTCTGTCCAGATACTCATACCCAGCAGCACTCCAGGGCCTGAGGGTGCCACCCTGAGAAACCTGGGCCCCACCAGGCCCCAAGTCAGAGTAAAAAATGACTTTGATGTGAAAATCTCTGCACCTATTTAGATTGCTCATTATTTTTTAAAAGAGCTGAACTCTAAAAATAGTGGTGATGCAGAACAAATGGGAGTTGTTCTCCTCTGAACATGGACCAGTGACAGAATCGGGTTGCTCAGGGACAGACAAGGGGGGAGGAAGCCTCAGCTGTGGGGTGGGGTGGGAATTGACCTCCTCACTCAGAACCTTGCCTGTAGAGAGGTCCGATGAGTTATGTAGGGGTCCCGGGTGTGGCAGAGCAGGGGCTCTGAGCATCTCTTGAGATGGCAGCACAGTCAAGACTGGGACACAGCCCACTGTGAGGCATTCTAGCCGTCACAGAAACTTCCACTGACATCCACCCTGGGAGCCCCTACACCATGTGCCTAGGGGTCCTTTAGGGAGCATGGGGTAAATGGGGCTCTCCCACCAACACTCACATCCTCAACCGAATCTTCCCAGCTGACTCTGAGCCGACTGTGCAGGGTGGGCTGCACGGACATGTGGAGGTATTCTCCATGTTCTGCTGACTCTGAGCCGACTGTGCAGGGTGGGCTGCACGGACACGTGGAGGTATTCTCCATGTTCTGCCACCCACCCTGTGGCACTACTACGGCCTATAATGACTGCAGCTCACAGGTGCCGTGGTGAGCATGGGATGGGGCGATGGGGCAGCTCAACCAGGTGGAGTTCCCCCACTTGGGCAAAAGGCACCCCCATCGTGTGTGTGCCTGACCATGTGTCTAGCCAGCAGGGCCTCTTTCCTGTTCTTGCTCTTGGGAGAACCTGCAGGACTGCTGGATCCTGCCGTTTAGGCACTCTAGCCCACCATCACCTGGAGGGTGGCAGTTCAGCAGTCACTTGGTCCACCAGGTCCCCACCCAGGATTGGGCAGGAGAGGCCCTTCTCCTTTGGAGGTCGAGTCAGACTACTGCCTGTCTTGGCTGCCCTCCGTGACTCTGCCTCCCTACCCAGAAACCAGACCACACCACCTCCTGCCTTCTCTAGCTTCCTGGCCCAGCCACATGTGTGTGCCCCACTCTGAAGGTCCTAGGATGGGTCCCCAGTAGTGGAAAGTTGGCCTGAGGCTCCACCTCCTGGCTCCCAAACATGTCTAGACAAAACCTGTACCTGAGGGACATGCTGCTAGGATTCCCAGAAAACAGACACATCCTTGCTGTGTTTGACACACATACGTTGTTATAACCAAGTGGCTGGCAACAGGGACAGCGAGGGAGGAGAGCAGGCAAAGACGGGGTGTTGCATAATTGTCCTTGGCCCCTGCACTCCACAGGACTTGTGTTTCTCTCTTGTTCCCCTGGCATCATACAGACTCAATGACTCATATTCTGGGCAGAGGCTGCATGGGATGCTTGGGGGCTGTAACACTGATCTAGCCTCAGACCCTGGTCACAAGGATGAGGGCCCAGGGCAGTGGCAGGTGGCCCACTAGTGAGATGACCCCTTGGACTCCCATGGACAGATCCTGCCCACAGACACCGAGAAACCACTTATAACCAAAATGCAGTAGCTGTCCACAAGACATTGTCTGGAAGCCTTGCAGTGATGTCCACCTACATATGACTGGAACCACTGAAGAAGCTGATTTTGTTTTGAATTCACTGAATAAAAAAAGTGCAAAGTCCCCACCCCTCTCCTGACAAGACCCAGGACAGTCCATGGGGCATAGCCACTGGGCTGCAGACGCAAAAGGGGCACTCATGGGCCCTGAGCTCAGCACCGGTATTGATCTAGCTCAACACAACCATAGCCACTGTGAGCCATGACTGCCACAACTGACCAAGTGACCCTAGCTGTTTTTAACTAGTTTCCTAGAGAACCATAGACCATCAGAGCAGATTGTGGGGCTTTACAACCAGACTCTGGTTCCAGGAATGTGACTGACATAACTTAAAACAACAAAAAGTAACAGGGTCACTTTTGTTCTGACCAATGTACACACCCCATCTTCTAGCCCAAATTCCAAGGACCCACTGGTCCTGCTGCTGCCCAGGACACTTCCGCCAGTGAGTCCCTAGTAAGCGGCACTCTGCAGGTCTTTCTTTGGTCTCATAGTACCTTGGGGCTGGTTCTCAGACAACGACCCAGGTTGTTCTGGAACAGTACCCGCCTACCCCCTCTCCCTCAAAGCCGCACTCTGACCTGAGTGCCCAACCCAGGAGGCAGTATCTGGGCACCTGGCCCATGGCTTCACAGTGACTGGGGGCAATGTTCTGCCTGTGCTCACCCCAGCTTTCCTGCTGCATGTGACAGCCAGGCCCAGGCCACTGGCTTAAGGTCACCCAGGAGGCTCAGAACAAGTCAGCAGAGCAAACATCCATGAGCAGTATGACTCAACTCTGCAGCCTGTGCAGAGCTTTGGCCATGAGCCGGGGTGCAGACCAGCAGCACTTAGGCAGGTGGGTGAGGCTCAAGCCCTGGGGAGAAGACTCAGTGTCCTGGTGGAGGTTCCCTTCTGAGTGGTCTCTGGAACCTTCTTTTAGAAAGTGCTCTGACAAGAGGAAGGTGTCACCGCTGGCCATGCTGGTCCGTGCTCCCAATTCCAGCTTAACTTCAAGATCCAACAGTCCACATGGGGTGAGAGGCTGAGAAAGAAACTGGTTACTGGGCGCCAGATGAGGAGGAGTGGTACCCATGCTGGAGACTGCAGCAGCCATCAGAAAATAGTTTAATTCTGTACAGACGATTGTGAGCCTGATCACAGATGCCATCTGAGAAGTGACAGTACAACAGCGCAATCACAGGTGCTGCCTGAGAGGTGGCAGCCACAAGACCCCAAGTAAATCAGACTGTGACAGCGCGGAAGGAGCGTAAATCAACACTTTTCCTCTGGGACAAGGGAAAGAAAAAGAACAAAAACCAGAGCTTTGGAATGTTTTCTCTCCTGTGCTGTGGAATGGCATCTGTCCAGGACCAGTGAAGAGATGGTGGGGAGCAGATGATTCAGGCCCTCTAGGCCATATCACATGTTACACCCACCCCAAGCCCTTGGGTGCCTCATAGTCAGGCTGGCAGTCTTCGGCTCCATGAGCTGCTTGTGCAGTCGGCAGTCACGAGCTTCAGAAGAGGGACCGGGAGCCTTGGTTCTCAAACTCAGACCAGGCATCGTTCAGTTCCATGAAGATCATCTTGGCGTACTGCTCATATGGCTGCCCCGTAGCCTGTGGGCAACAGGGATGAGATCTGGGCTGACCACCCCGCCCCAACCTGACCCACTGGCAGGCACAGGCCCTGAGAGGATGGGACAGCAGGGCCATCCTGGCAGCAGTACAGTAGGAGCCTCAGGACAGGTGCGAAACTGCCCCACCACATACTCACCTTGTCGGGGTGCACAACCAGCACTGCACGGCGGTACTGCTTCTTCACCTGCTCTGGGGTCACCAGATCAGCCATGCTCACTGGTGTCCAGCGGCTCTCCCCATCCCACAGCACTGTGTGCAGTGTGGACAGCAGTGCACGAATGTTCCTCTCCTTGCCTTCAATCCAGTCCAGCAGCTGTGGATTCACCAGCATACACTAAGCCTCAACACAAGGAGGAGCCATCGCGACTCAGGATACCCCCTCCCCTCTGTGTGGGGTGATTAAGGGAGGCAGCAGAAGAAGCACCAAGGGAGGTGGCCACCCTGACTAAAACAAGGAGCAGGTCTGTGGAGCAAGCCTCGGGGAGGCACTGTGGGACCTGGCTTGGCACCTCTCCACACTCCAGGGAGAAGTAAGTGTGTAGGACAAAGACACTAGCCCACCCCACTCCCCACCACCCAGCAAGGTTCCAATCCAGCCTTTCTGAGTCCTGGCTGGGCCAGCCCAGATAACATAGACCAGGCAGCTTAGCTGCAGAGTCCTGGGGGACATTCACAAGGACACAAACCCTAGTCCCTCAGCACAGCCTCCCTCCACTGAGGTTCAGAGGGGACAAGCAGGGCAGAGCTGACCACCATCCAAATGTACAGATGATGTGTCCCAGAACCTCAGTAAGACCACCTGATCATTGGCCATGCTGATGTCCCCATCACCCTGCAATGAGTATCCCAGATCAGGGTACTGGAAAAGCCACCCCACCCCACAGTGGGTGTCTTGGGTCAGGACTAAAACCCAAACAAAAGCTGCTGTCCTGGCCAGCAGGCCAGGCAAAGCCCCTTAGTTGTCATGGCGATACTAGTTGGGCACAAGCCCTCCTGCCAGCTCTAGCCAAAGGTCAAGAGTACAGGAGCCCTGTGTGATACTGGCAACCTTCCCTGACCACCCAGTCCCAGAACAGTGCCGAGAGAACAGTGCCGGGCTGCCCAGAAACACAGTCACAGAGCGGTCTCGCACTAACCCCACCTTCAGCTTGAGCGGGTCTGTATCTCTGGCGAGGTCCTGCTTCCGCATCTCTGCCATGGTCCTTGGACCCTTCCTATCGGACTTGGAGAACCCTTGACTAGGCAGCAAGTCTTCAAAGTCGTTCTCTGAGACCTTGGGTTTTTGGGCTGGGAAAAAAGAAACACTATTTACAGAGACACTGGTCTATTCTCTGCCTGCTTCCCCTTGCTCCGGGGGCAGGGCCTCTGTCCAATGCCTAGACAGAGAGGAAGGAAATTACGACCCAGGCCAGCTGCTAAAGATGACCAACAGGCTGCGACAGGAAGAGAGGATGCTTAAACATACCTCAAGAAGAAACAACAGATGTATCTGAAACTGCTTCCTCTCCACAGAGCAGCCTCAGTGAGAAATGGAGGCTGATTTGATCTGCTCTCCGAGGGATGGGCTTTGAGGTAAGGAATGAAAGGCTGACCTGACCCTCAGGGCAGGCCACGCAAGTCAGTGGGCCATCTCGGGACTCACCAAAGCTGGGCGCACGGACACCCCTCTCCTCTCGGCCCCCAATCACGCTGAAGTTGGTAGCATAGTGAGACCTTGGCTGTGCACAGGCTTTGGGGGGTGGCTTGGCCTGGGGGGACCACGAGGTGCCCTGGGCTGGTGGTCGACTTGTCTGCCAGGAGCCACCACCCTTAGAAGAGGGAGCTGACTTGGGAACAAATCCCCCAGAAGGGAATCCAGCAGGCGAACCTGGGGAGACAGAGCACAGGACACTCATGGGACTGCTATGGTGGAGCTGAGAACACCATGTGTGAGGGATGCACGTTCACGGAATGAAACACGCATCACCAGTCAGCTGTCCACCGGCACAGCGTGTTCACGGAATGAAATGCCCCGTCACTCGGAAGACCTGTCCCTCATTCCGTGCAGCACTGCACGCTCACAGAAGGAAACACATCACTTGGTTGGCCTGTCCCATCCAACAGGTGCGAGGGACTCCAGTGGCTAGTACAGGCGAGCACTGCAAGGGCTGAGCATACTCTGGATAGAGTCAGACACAGCGCTCCCATCTGCACAGAACTGCCTCGGGACCACTGCTTCCTCTTGCGGGTGCCACCTCACAAGTTTCCCCAAATGTGCAACTAACTTTTTTTGAAATAATTAGAATCATTTGGTGTACCCTGCAGCAATGTCCCCCATTCCTCCATGAACCACTGAGATGGGCAGCAGTGCTGGCTGGTTCAGAGGTGTGCACAGGTATGAGCTGTCTCACCACTTATGTGGTCCCACAGGCACCAGTCCTCAGGAGCACCCACCTCTCCAGAGTTCTGTCATGCCAAGAACATTTCAGAAGTGGAGGGGCTGGCAGAGTGGCTCAAGTGTTAAGAGTGCCTGCCTAGCAAGGTGTGGCTTAAGTGGCAGAGCACTTGCCTAGCCAAGCATGAGGCCCTGAGTTCAAACCCCAGTACCACCAACAAAACAAAACAAAAAATACAATGGGTCAACAACAGGTCCTTTACTACTAGTCTTTTCACGGGGACAATGCCCATCTAGACCACTCCTTTTAACTGCTGAGACATTTTGTGGTGCAGAAGGGACCACTATCTGCTCAACCTTCATCCATGGAAGTATGTCTGTACTAAGCCTACTGTCTGGTTGTTATAACTGCTTTGAATGCTTATTTATGGATTTTGTAAAAACACAAGCTCATTTCTCTGGGATAAACACCAGTGTTGTGTGGTGGTTGCATGTTTAGTTTTATAAGAATCTGATCAAGATTAGCTGTACTGTTTCATGGTCCCGCAGCGCATGTGAGGAAGCAGTAGCTCGGATCCTTGTTGGTGCTGAGTGTCTGCTCTGGCAGAGGCTCAAGGTGGCTGCCATCATCTTCCACCAGCCAGGGATGTCTTGTGCTCATGTGGGTCGAGCACCACCTCTGCAGGAAACCCTCCATCTCTCTTCCCGTGTCCTCACTGGAGTGTATTTTGTTTTGTTTTACTGTATCTACATATTCCAGACAGGAATCTTTCATCAAATACGTGTTTTGAAAACATTTCCTCCCTTGTGTTGATGTCTTTCTAGTCTGGAAGCTGCATCTCATATCTGTGCCCAGCAAGGCCCCAAATCTGTGCTGTCTTCTGTAGGCAGTGCAGCTCTGCTTTACATCTGGTCTTCAATGAGCCACAGGCAGCTTCTGCGAGGCACGGAGTTAGTTGAGGTTCCTTTCCTTGCCTGTGCAAGTCCAATGGCTCCGACTTCCATTTGCTGAATGGCTTTTGAGCCTCTGTCAAAAATATCAGTTGGTCCTCCTGGTCTATTTCTGGGTCCTCTCTCCCATTTCACTATGTGTAGCCCTGTGCTCACACTATAATGTGAGTTTTGGGGAACAGAGAATAAGCCTGAAAGCTTGGGGAATGTCTCCCACTCGCGCTTCCACTGCAGAACATTCCAGTTCTTTCAGTTACTGTCTTTCCAAATAAATGTGGCAAGGATCTTGGTGGAATCTACAAAAACCCTTACTGGGGTTTTGGTGGGAACCACATTAAACCTGCAGATCAATCAGCATAGGAGTTGTGTGTACACCTTCCAATGGCAAGTCTCTCTGTAGAACTCGATCTCTGCTTTCCTTCACCGTATTTGGTTCATCGTTTCATCACACAGGAACTGTATGTATTTCCTTAGATTTCTGCTTAACACTTTGTTTTTTAAAAGTGATTGTAAATGGTACTGTTTATAAATTTGCTTTCATGTCACTGCAAATAAACAATTATAACTCAGTTTTGTGTGACCTTAGTGGTTCTAAAAGCTTTTGTAAAGTCCTCAGATTTCCTACACAGACAACCATGTAATTTGCAAGCAGGAAAATTTTGTTTTACCTTTCCAGTATGTGTAACTTCTGTGTTCTTTTCTTGTCTTTCAGTGAATGGGAATGGCACTCAGACACCGCCTTCCCTGACATCAGGGAACTTCACTTTTTCCCACAGGCCATGATGTCAGCTGTGGTCTCTGCACCCACTCTGGTGATGTGACACCCCTCTCATTATGTTTGCCAAGGGCTGTGATAAGGTGCTCGGCTTTGTTAGCTGCCCTTTCTGCATCACTGATATGACACAGTGACTCCACTCTATTAGAGGGCTGAGCCAGTCTTGCTGCAGTAGGCCCACCAGGGTGGTGTGCAGCTGTTTGCTCATATGGCAAATTCCATCTGCCCCTGTTCTGTGGGTCTGTGTGTCCTGAGGTCAGCCTGTGGATTTGGCATCAGTGCTCTGTAAGGTTAGCATGAAACTGTTCCTCTTCTGGTTTCTCAGGTGTGGAACTGCACCCACAGTGAAACTTCAGCGAACCCATTGGAGTCTGGAGATTTTCTTCCTCTGAGGCTTTTTACTCTGGTTTCATTTTCTTCAGTGACAGACTTTCTCCAGTTCTCTGCTTCACACTGGGAGTTTTGTATTGACTGGCTGTGTTCCTGAGCTGCAAGGGTTTGAGCACCTGCTTCCACCCCTTCTCACCTTGCAGAGCCTCTGGGCCCTGGGCCCTGACACTGGTGCTTTCTGCTCTTCCCTTTTTTTGTCAGTATTAGTAGAGCTTCATCAATTTTATCAATCTCTTCAAGGAACCTACTTTTTGTTTTGTTGAGTTGAAAAAATTATTCCTTCCCTTCCCATAAAAGAAAAATATGATTTCCTTGCTTTCTTCCTTTGGATTTACTTTGCTCTCGCATTTATTAATGATACATTTCATCTTTTCTAAGGCAAGCATTTAATGTTATAAACTCTCCAGCACTTTTAAGCTGTGTGCCCATGTCCCAATATGCTGAATTTTATTTTCATTCAGTCCAATGCATTGTTTTCTTTCCTTGGGCTCCTCTGTGTTACTCACAGCAACTGTTCACCTGGTCCAGGGTGAAGAGGATCCATCATCTCACTCTCACTGTCTGGATGGATCCATGGTGGCAGACAGTGTGCTATAATTCAGGTTTTTTGCCCTGATGGAGGCTGCACAGGTGCGTGGAAGGGACCTGTGTTCTGTGTTGCCAGTGAGGCCAATGACAGCCAGGCCACCCATGCTGTGGATGGTGTGTACTGTTGTCGCCACCTGTAACTTGGGTTATCTTTTAAGCTGCCTCAGCCTGGCTTCCTATGGGGCTGCTGCTTTAGGCACATGAGGGAGGGAGCTGAGGGCTGGCTCTGTCTAGCCTGATCCTGAGCGTTCTCCCATCTCCAAAGGGCAAACACTCTTCCTGGGGAGGTCTTGGCAGCCCTGCTGTGCTCAGATCAGAAGCTCTGAGACCACATGGGGAAAGTAAGACAGAAGCCCTCATACAGATCCCAGAAATATACTGTCACCTGGAAAACCAGGAGACAAAAAAAAAAAAAAAAAGGCAGTTAAACAACAAAAGCACAGGAGAAACAATGTGGTAGTAGGAGCAGAATGAGGCTGGAGAGGAGATAGGGCTGGCACCAGCCTGGGACACAAACACTGCAGAACAGGGACTCAAGAAGAAACAGACAGGCAAAAAATTTCTGAGACCAGGATGCCAGGTGCCCAGTGTGGGGGCTGCAAGGAAAGCTGAGCCCACAGAGCTGACATCAATAGGATGCCACAGGAGGACAGCGTGGAGATACCAACACCCAGGGCCAACACCACAGCAAGTGAGTCACCAGCAATAGGTAAGGGACAGGAGTGGACAAAGGGTGTAACAGGTACTTAGAAACTGCTTTTGCTAAAAAGCACTGACCTCTCACTTGGGCCACAAGGTAGCTAAAAGCAGAATAAAACTCAGCATCTCTGCCTCCATTTTGCATGTCTCCTCTGCTCTGAGCCAGTCTCCCCTGAAGTCACCTTGGATTCCAGGAGGACAGGACTGATGGACAAACATCAGTGACCCCTGAAGATGTTGAATAAATCCTTTCCTGCCTTTTCACCATTATTGTTTGCTGTTTTTGGAGCAAGTGGCCAGACCTCACAAGTTGGAACATCCCCCGAGTTGGGCCTCTGGCCAAAGGCTCTGCAACAAGAGCATGTCCCCCTTTGTAGAAGCTGTGGAAGGGGAGGTGCAGACAGAGGAGCCCCAGGGGAACACATGAGGCAACCTCAAGGTGAGCTCTGGAGCAGCTTGCAAGTGTGGGCCAGGACAAGGCAGGTATGGGTGTTGGGGTACTGCCTGGCAGAGTCTCACCAATATGGACTCTGTTTTCCAGATGCCCACGGCCCAGATGCCACTGCAGGAAACACACCACCATGCTGCCATGAGGGCCAGGCAGCAGTGGCAATTCCAGCAACTTCCTTTAGACTTCCTTTTAGTCAGCCAGCCAGCGCCTGAATAGGACACAAGCCCCCAAGGTCCCCAGGCCCAGCGGTCTCAGCACATGCCCTGGGCAGCACAGAGTGAGAAGACGAGAGAGAATCTGCCTCAGGCACAAACAGCCTGCCCCTCACGTTACCTTGCAGGCCAGAGCTGACGTCCCCAAGGTCAGCAAACAGCTCACCCTCACATTACCTTGTAGACTGGAGCAGAAGTCCCCAAGGTGAGCAAACGGCCTACCCCTCACAGTACCTTGCAGACTGGAGCTGAGGTCCCCAAGGTCAGCAAATGGGTCCAGGGTTTGAGACTTGTTCTGGCTAGACTGCGGGCCGGGAGGGGTTGGCTGACCTCCAGGAGAGAAAAGGGCACCTGGAAAAAGGGCAGAGTGTTAGAAAGGCCCACCAACAGTAAGGTACAGCCTCCCCGGCCCAGCTCCTCCCTCAGTACCATGGGCCCCACTTGGCTCAACCAGTGTTTCGAGCAGTGGAGACGTAGCACAAACGTGGCAGAGTAGCCACTTCCGGCACCCATGTCTCCTTACAGGAAATGATGGAACAGTTGGTACCAAGTACTAAAAAATGTCTACACTGTTCTGAATGTGAATGTTCTTCATGATATTCCTTATAACAGTGTAAATTTGAGAATATCCTTAAGTATAAAATCATGAAATAGTTAAATAAATATTGCACAGACACTTGATAAAATATTATACAATCATTAAAAATGATTCAGACTGGGCACAGTGGAACACATCTGTAATCCCAGCTACTCAGGAGACTGAGATCGGGAGGATCATAGTTCGAAGTCAGCCTCTGCAAATAGTTCACAAGACCCCACCTCCAAAGTAACCAGAGCAAGGACTAGAGGTCTGGCTCAAGTGGGAGAGCGCCTGATTTGCAAGTGTAAAGTCCCAAGTTCAAACTCCAGTCCCACCCACACACACACACACACAAATTCTCTTACATCAATAAAAAAGAGAAATTCCCTCTGTGAAAAGGGAGCAAAGATGAAAACATTCTGAAAAAAATATGAATAACTAAAACTACACAAAATCATAGCCAACCGCATTTATAACAAAGCAACGAAAATTAAAAGCACTAATGAGCTGGGCATGGTCGCTCAAAACTGCAATCCTAGTTGCTCAGGAGGCAGAGATGCGGAGGATTATAGTTTGAGTCCGGTCCAGGCAAAAAGTTCCTGAGACCCCATCTTAACCAATGAAAAGCTGGGCATGCTGGGGAGAACCTGTTATCCCAGTTGTGTGGGAAGAGTATGTAGAAGGATCGAAGTCCAGGTTGGCATAAAAGTCAGACCCTATTCAAAAAATAACTAAAGCAAAAAGGGCTGGGGCGTGGCTCAAATAGTAGAGTGCTTGCCTAACAAGTGTAAGGCCCCCATTCAAACCCAGTAATGCCAAAAAAAACCCCAAACAAACCCACTGATGACCTATAAATTGGTAAAATGTTTTAAAACTTACCATCCAACTGTTGTCAGAAACCAAGGATAGGAATTGCTCCCGGGCAAATAATACTGTACCCAGACGGGGACATGTGTCAAAGACCTTGTAAATAGGATTGTGTTGGACTAGAGCATGCAATCAATAGTTATATATGCACAAAAAGGACAGACGTTCACAAATGTGAATGTCTGGATTGCATCCACACAATCCATATCCCTGACGGAGCACATGGTATCAGCCTCAGTTTTCAGGAAGGTTGGTGAGAGGTGCAGAGCAGGCAGGCAGGCAGGGTAACTGATAGTAAATAAGGTGTAGAATTATGTCCCAAAATACATTTGCCTGTAGGAGAAGAAAAAGGACCAGCAGGCAGAATGGGAGCAGGGGAATGAGACACTGCCTGCTGCTAAGCAGAGGCCAGTGGACTGACATGCAGAGATCTGCACTTCCAAGGAGCAAGTGAGTACTTTGTAGCCACCATGAGCAATCTCAAGGCTGACAGACATGCAGGAACCCACAGGCAGTCCTCCTTCCTCTTCTGCCAGAGTGGCATCGGCTACATCATGTACAAAACAGGAAACACTCCATGGCCTCAGGGGGGTGCCCACCTGGGAACTCAGCCCCTGGTGTAAGTGGTCGTACCTTCTGTGCTGGGTGTGGGGGCTGGCCCGGGTACAGCAGCCTCGGCCCACGTATCCCACCCTCCCAGCAGATCCGGTTGGCTGGAGGAGGTTGTCACCTTGCTAGGCTCTGCTGGCAGATCCCCTGGAAGGAGCCAGAGGAGATCAGGGCTTGGCGTGTCTGCCAGCCACAGTCATGCTGTTCACATGGGCCCTCCTCTTCCCCCACATGAGCAGTGGGCAAATCCAGTCAAGACACAGCCGAGGGACCTGTGCAGTCACCATGGGGTCCTGAAATGCCCAGTGGCTGAACCCTGCACACTCCAGCCTCCCTCTTCCCAAGGGGCTCTGAGGACACACCACATGCCACTGAACTGATCAACAAGACATAGAGGTCAGCAGGCGGCCAACCTCACAGAGCAGTGATGAGAAGAAACACCTGCATATCAAGGGGCCTTCAGAGACCCTTCTTCCTCCATAGCCACCTGCAGATTCCCAGTGCAGCCCACAGTGGGGAGGGAGGAAGACACCGATTGGCTGAGCCACCTTCCTGGGGGATGGGGACCCACAGCCATGTTTGGTACCCTTTTAGGGGTCCTGCACCAGTTCTTTTGTTCTCAACTGGCCATACACCCACCCCAGCATGGTGCAGCCATGTATCACACTGCCTATCCACAAGCTGCCTACTGTGATCAGCCATCCTCCAGGGCATACCCTGAACCACACTGCTCCTGCTTAGAAGAACCAAACTCCTTTTCCACAGCTGGAGGGGCCCCAGCTGCTTGCTAAATGGGTCATGCCTGCTACTCCCCGGGCTGGCCTTCAGCCTTCCTGCTGCTTCTTCCCTGCACTGGCTTCCTAGATCTCTCTGCCCCCTGACCTGGCAACCCCAACCAAAGCTTTAGGCAGAGATGGCTGTCCCTGCTCACAGCCAGTCCTGGGGCCCATGCTGAAGAGGCTGTGAACAGCAATGAGTACCACAGGGCTCAGAACCTGCTCAAAGGTTGAGTGAACAGCTTGGGAGAGTGGAGGAAAAGAAGCCAGTGTTCCACCAGACCTTGAGCACCTTGGACTGGGGGAAAGCAAGGAGAGGCAGGGCCCTGCTTGGCACTGAGAGCTGCAGAAGCCACATGGTCCCTCCCCACCTACTGCTCTACCCTTGAGTCATTGTCCTGAGGGAGATGTGTGAAGCAGGAGTTCCCAGACCCCACCGTGTAGAAACCTGTGGCTTCTGAGCGCAGTCAGCAGTGGACACTCACCTAGTTGCATAAAGGTGGTACTACAGGCTGGGGGTGGGGCGCTGTGGGTGGAGGGGAAGGCAGGTGAGCCAGAGGCCACTGTGGAGTCAGCGTTGAGAAAGTCACCAAAGAGATCAGGCTTGGAGCAGGGCTGGGTGTCGGGGTTGGATGACAGCAGAAGCGGGTCAAATGGGTCTGCTAGACAGACAGGCAGGGAGGACAGTGTTAACCACAACCCATGCCCTGGGTTCTAGCTACCCTGTTCTCAGGCCTCCAGTCTCCAGAGGGAAGCGGCTTCAGCCAGATGGATCCAAGCTACCCAGCTGCCCTCCCAGGAGCACATAGTCCTTCTGACTCCCCACAGCCAGGACAACCATCCCACGGACATAGCAATGCCCACGAGGGGACAGCTGGTGGTTCTTGGCCTATAGGCTGCCCGAGGGGGCAGTGGGAACTACTGCACCCACAGACAACTTCTTCTAAATGGCCCCGTTCCCAGCACCTAGATAATAGTGATTGCTCCCCTTTCTACCTGGCAGGAATGACTAAACCCTACTCATTTACTGTGAAGTTAACTCTCTGCAGAACAGAAGTGCGTACCAGTGGCGGGGGTCCCTCCTTGTGAGGTGCTCCGTGCACTTAGGGGAGTAACTGGACTTGCCAGGAGCAAGGGGGCCTCGTTGCCAAGCAGGTCACCTGGGGACCCCACTGGGGCAGAGTCAGGTGGTCCAAGGAGGCGACTGAGCAGGTCAGCATTGCTGGAAGGGGGCCTGCAGGCCTCTGAGGGGGCAGTGAGCTCCAGGTCCACCTCAGAGTGCAGTCCCAGGAGGTCAATGCCCTCTTCCGATGGTGCAGTCTCCTGTGGTGTGGCTGGCGTGACTGCCTCAAATATTAAGTCTTGCTGTCTGGACCTGGCTGTCAGGCCTGGTGTGTCCTCACCAGCCCCTGGCTGCCTGTCTTCACTAGGGAATGGGAGCTCCTCTTCATCTGACATTTCACTTCCGTCTCTCTCTGGAATCAGAACAGACCGACTCTCCTTAGGAGAGGTATTTTCTGGACCCATCTCTGGTTCTTTCTCATCTATAAAAGAAAACAAAAAATCACAGGTTGTTGGATCCACACATTGGACAAGCCAAGATGGATAGGCAACTCAGTGGAGCCTAGGCTGCAGCCGTAGTCAGCACCAGGGTCCCCATGTCCATCCCAGGCCTTGGTGCTCACGTCCCAAGGCTCAAGTCAAAGTGGGGGCCTCCACTGCCCTCACCCAGCAACTTGTGGCCTCCAGCCAGCCAGAGGTATCCTAAGGTTCCAGACTTTTGACACAGTCCCTACTGCAGGGTCAGCCTGTGGCCCTCTCCAGTGAGGTACGTGCACCCTAGGGACACACTCTGAGAGTCAGAGTCTAGTAGCAGACATGTCCACCCTTCTAGCAGGGGACACGTGCACAATGTGGGAACCGCAGTCTAGAAGGGGACACATGCACGTCATGGGAGCCACAGTCTAGCAGGGCTCTCTGCAGCATCCCCTGGGGGACAGCTTCACTGGGCAGAATGAATCCCATGGGAATCAGTCAGTGCAGGTCCCGAGAGGGTGAGAAATGAAGATGATGACTGCTAGGTGTTTAGTGGTAGCAACCTGGCTCTGGACTGGGAGCTTGTTGGGGTCTGTGGGTAGTAAGAGATGTGGGTATTCGCAGGTGTGGATGTGACTGCTCTCAGTGACTCAGTCAGGCCCCTCTCGTGCACCCTGGACCTCTGGAGTCTATTAACGAGACCATTTGTGGAAAGTTTCACTCAGCTTGACTCTCAATAAAGGGCTGGAATCAGTACATCAGGCTTTGGGGGCATATTCTTTTCTTCCTCCAATGTTCAAAACATACTATGTAAACTATTCTTGACTATGTGCCACTAAAAATCAAGCACGGTGTGGGGTCTGCAGACTCTCTGGAAGCCGTGGCTCGGCCCCAGCCCATCACCATGAAGCTGGCCCTGCACAGTCATACTCAGAATGTGACCACACACAGGACTAAGAACCTTTGTGGTGCACAGATTGCTGCCTAGAAGCAGCTAGCTGGTGATGACCCCTGAACTCTGGGCTGTGTCAGACTGGATCCCATGAGAGGGTGGAGGGCTTGTCATACCCTACACCTACCCTGCCAGTCCAGCGTGTGAAGGAAGTGGTTGGCATCTGTACTGCTGCTCTGCGGCGAGTCCGATTCTGTGACCTCAGCCTCTGGAGACCCCGTTTCAGCATCATACTGAGCTGTGGAGCCTGGCTGCCTGGGGAGCTCTGGCTTCCCTGCCAGGAGAGGGGCTAGCGTCAGGTCACCTGCACCAGCCTACAACCTCAAGTGAGGCCTAGAGCCAGAGCAGCCAGGTGGGCCAGCCACAGGACCACCCGTACCAGCCATATGAGCACAACCAAGTTCAGCGCAAGCAGATTTCTGCTGTCCACTCAGATACTACACCAGCCACATGTGCATACAGGCACACACACACTTGCATACACATGCATGTACACATACTTGTGACACCCCCCCCCATACACACACACGCACAGATGTACACACAGTCCTTTTAGGAATACTTAACTGTCCTCAGATAAGAAAATGTAAATTGTGCAAACCCAGACCATGGAGATGTACTGCGAGCAACAAGTGCTGCCAAAAGCCCCACCTGCTGAGGTGCTTTGACTATTTTTGGAACTGCTCTGAAATAAGGAAAAGAGACACCCACACTGAGCAGGGGCTACCACCAAGAACCATGGGTCCTGAGGCAAAGCGTCCCCACCCTCAAGATATTTTAAATGGTCATGTGTCTAGAACACAGGCCCTCAGTCAGCAAGTGGTATAAACCTAACACTGGATCCCCAGCTCCACAATGATCCCAAAGGCAGAACTCAGGGCTCATGTGCCTGCAGAGCAATACCATCTTGCTCTTGGGAAAAGGGTTATCTCTGCTTCAGTGGAAACCAAGAGAATGGATTTCCCTGAAGGGCCAGGGTTGGCCTGGTGTGGAGAGTAGCTTGTGCCAGACCTGTATACCCATCAACAGGCCTAGGGATCATAGTATCAAATGCCTCCTTTACCTGTACCACACTGCACCTTTACCAAACAAAGTCAAGAGTTTCTGCCACCTGCTGTAACCTTGGCCAAGTCCCAGCCTGGGCACAGCAACAGGTACTTGTGACTGGGACAGGGAAAGGGGTGCTACCTAGCCCTGCACAGAGCTCTGCCCCTGGGGGCCTCTCCCAGCAGTGGCAGTCACCAGAACTGGGTCCCCTGCAAGTGAACATTTTGTCTGTGAGCCTTACCAAACTTAGAGAGGATATCCTGCTGCTCCTCACGACTGGAAAACAGGATCTTTGGGTTCAGCCCCCTCAGGCTGGTGTTCTCCCATGGTGGGGTCTCCCGGCTTGGCCTGTCCCTGGGCTCCACCTCCACTTCTAGGTTCACTTGGAATAGATCTGGGTACTTCTCCTGAATATCGCACGCATCCAGGTCATACCTGCAGGCACCAGGCAGACATGGGTGAGGAGGGCCTGGAGGTACTTCAATGTCCATGGAAGGGACACACTCAGAATCTACACCATCTGCTCACAAGGCAGTAGGAATATGGCTCTCCCCACCATGGGACATGAGACTCCCACCAGCAGGGCTAACAATACTCCCTGACTCCCTTGCTGTCAGGGCAGGGTTACCTCAATTGTTAACTTGAGAACACTGGACTGATCCACCACATTCCCTAGTCCATGGAATGCCAGGTGCTCAGAGTGAACAGAGCAGACAGGACAGATGTGGAGACTGCTATGCTAGGGAGGAGGGCTCCACGAGACAGGCTCCCATCCCTCACAAGAGGATCCAGGCCCCTGCCCTTACCTTCCAACTGTACACACATTGTGGAATCTCAGTTGGTTCAGATTCAAGTACTTTGAAATCTTAAATGCATTTTTCTATAAAAAATATGATGTCCATCATGGCAAAACTACTCAATTATTATCAGATGACCACAAAACCAAGATCTCTGGAATCAAGCTGCCAGGGTCTGGGAACAAGATTTGTTATGGGCCAGGGAGGCAGCCAGGCTCTGCCCTTACCTACCTGGGCTCTAGGAAGCAGAGGGACAGGAAGGAAATAAGAGAGGAAGACATCCCAGGGTCCCCAGATGCCATGAGGGCAGCTGTTCAGTGGCATGGGGGGAGAGAGGCCCAGCCAAAGCATCCTACAGGCCACACTTTGGCCATTCTCCACATTGCTCTAAGGAATCACAGTGCATTTCACACATTGCAAAGACTCTGGAGACAAAGCACACCCTGGGTTCTTTAGTGCATATCCCTGCTGGCCACTCAGCATCTCTGTACATCACACTTAAATTTTATATGTACCAAAACAACAACAAACCTAAGACAGATCACAAAGCAGTGGTGGTCGATTCTAAGGAAACCTCAGGTGCCAAGTGATGCCACCTACCCCCACTCTGTGGGCTCCTCTATGTCTGTGCACAGACAACATGTTTACCAACACCACTGAGCAAGGAAGTCTGGGGAGGGTGGTCAGGATGGCAGTTTCCGTGGTAAAACAACAGCTGATTTTACTTCTTACTAAAAGTGGTGCTCAGGTAAAGCCGTGACGTCCCCACCAGCTCACTCCTTCCTGCTCTGGACACAACCTCTCTGCACACGGGAGCACAGGACAGAATGAGAAGGTTCTATGGCAGGGATTTCCCTCCACCCATGCCCTCTAGGTGGGAGACAACTTGGTGACTGTGCCAAGTCAGGTGGGAACAGCTAATGTGGAGCTGGTAACCACAGTGAGAGAGGCTGAGACTCGCCATCAACAAGGACAGAGCGGGCAAGGCAAGAGGGCCCACTCAGGGTGCCACGTGCACTTGACAGGCTTGGTTCCACTGCAGACAGGCAGCAGCTCCAGGCACTGTTCATCTCCGTTTCCCTGATCCAGCTGATCCTGGAGACTGTTCTGGGGCCTAGGTCTGCTCTGTCCACCAGCAGGGCAGCAGTGAGGGCACAATGGGGGTCTATGAGAAGGGAGGACAGCCCCCCAAGCCCCCACACATCAGTAGGACACAGCTCACAGGCCCCAGGTGGCTGGTCACCAACATGGCCAAGCTCCAAGAGGGTACCAAAGGGCCTTCTGACACTCTTGGCTGGTAAACAAAATGCTAGCTCTTGTCACGACTGCAGCACTGCTTAGTACAAAGAAACACTTCTGGTACCCTCATGCAATCACAAGATGCCTCAGGCTTGCTGGACACCCAGTCACCAAGGACAGACCTGCTCAGGCTCATCTGGTGGTGCCTGACCACCAACGGTCCAAATTCTTCTCTGTGATTGCAGTTCAGCTGCTCTGTAGAGCACACGCACACTTCCCTCAACCAGCACTTTCCCCTCACTGCCTTTGTCACCACAGTGTTCTAAGAGTATACCTTGCTATGCTACCTGCCGTGAGACAGGAATATTCAGACAAACACATCACTGTTTGAATGTATCCCCCAAACTCGTGTGCAACAGTACCACAGGCTGAACACTTCAAACAAGAGAAATCTGCTCTCTCACAGTTTGCTGAAGTGCACAGAACTCAGGTCAAGCGGTCAAACATGTCAGAACGTCCTAATTGATGTCACTTGTCCTGCTATCCAAGGAAAGAGAATGATGTCGGTGTTTGCCCATGTTGTCTTCTAGTTTTGAAGCTGTTTTTGGGCACTTCTGCTACTAAGCTGGCCCCTCTTCATTTCTCTGTTCTTAGCTCATCTGGGTTAGTCACAGGTTTTGTGCTTCATTTTTCTTCTCCATCAGTTCTTTACTGCTCTCTGTGGGATTACAATGCATAGGTGACAAACTACTAGCGACTTCCCAAGCCGCCGAGGCACATAGGCCGCAGAGGCTCATAAGGAGGCTTGTAAGTGCTCCACTGTCACCTCCCCTGCCTCTCTGGCACTACTGATGCCATATATTTTATTACCAAACAACTCTGAACCCCCACGATGTTTTAGCTAGTCAGCACACAATCAATTTTACCCACAAATTTATGCTTCCCACTTCTTTCCACGTTTTAGGCAGGCTTCTAAATCATTCTCTACATGTAAAACAGATGGTAGGGACCCAGCTCTCCCCGGGGCACTGGGACAGAAGTTAAGCACAGTTAGAACACTGTTAAAGCGCTGTTACTGATAAACCTTTGTTTTAAGAACCCTTCAGAAAGTTTATTTTTCCTTAAAATGTGCTGAGCTGTTGGGGGCTAGGGAGACTTAACTTCCTGACAGCTTTCCTGAGGTGGTTCAGGCTACCATGTGGTGTTACACAGCATCCAGCCCAGGTCTGTCCTCCTCTTATGAAGGCACAGTCCCATGGACCAGGGCCCTGTCCTTCATTTAACCTTAGTGACCTCCCAAAGGTCCCACTTTCAAATACCATAGTCAGACTAAGTTTCCACCCTCTTAATAACTCATGATGGGAAATAAATTCCAGCATGTGCTTTGATGGAGTCATTCAAACCACAGCAGTGCTCATCGTAGCTATTAAAAGTTCCTGTTTATTAACTCTAGTACCTGAATCACATAGATCTTTCCCTATACTTTCTTCTTGGTTTTCAGTATCTGATCTTTAAAAGCACTTTTTTAAGCATTCCTCCATGATGGTTGAAAAAGTATGGGAGGGAGAGGTGAAGAAGTTCAAAGTATATTACTTATGTATGTATAGAGACAGCATAAAGAAACTCCCCAAATTTTGTTTTTAAAAGGGAGAGCAAAGGGAAGGGGTTAAAGGTATATAATGGGGGGGGGGTGAACTTGCTCATAATACACTGTATACGTATATGGAATTTTCACATGTAACCCTAAATTTAAAAAAAATATTAAAAAGAAGAAAAGCTACAGAAGCTCCAGGTTAAAAGAAGAGACAGCAGGGCACCAACATGAAGGTGATGCGGCGGTAAGAGGGAGTAGTGCACACACATACACACATGATGCACTGGAGAGGGCACTGTTTTTCGCTCCCTCCCTTGTACAGCGAGCTTTCTCTCTTGCTCCTGGTTATCACCGAACCTAACTGGGCTTAACTGGGGGTGACTGGAGATTCAGAAAAGACACAGCATAGACAGACAGAAAGTGGGGTCAGGTGTGTTGAGCGCTCGGGTGGAGACACCCAACCCTCATTGCTTCTTTTCTCTATCTTTATTCTTTAAGGCCTTACTCCTTGCAGTTCTTTAAAACCTTGCTTCTAAAGTCTTCTTTAAAACCTAGCTTAAAACCTCTTTCCTGAGACTCGTACTGTCCCATGTTTTCTCTTTGCTATCTTTAGCTTAATTGCTCTTAAGGTCTTTTGCCCCCAGGCTGGCAGCGTTTCTTTAGCATTCTCCCTTTAGCTTTCTTAAAGCCTGGTGCTCAGACTTGCAAAGTCTCGGTCCTCTATCTTGCACTGTCTCACATTCTCTCTGGCTTTTCTTTAGCTTAGCTTTGCTAAAGCCTATGTTAAAGTTCCTTCTTTGGCTTAGCTTTCTAAAGCCTATGTTAAAGTTCTCGGTGCAGACTTTCTATCAACCCCTCTTTAGCCATACTTTTCCCTTTAGTAATTTCCCTTTAGCAATTCTTTTCCCTTCCAAAAGCTTCCCACACCAAAAAAGCCCAAAGCAAAAGAATCAAGCCAAAGCCCCAAAAATCCCTCCAAAGCAAAAAGCCTCAAGGCAAAAAGCCACTCTTCCTCCTTCAGGGGTTCTTTTATAAACAGCGGCAAACAGGGTGGAGCAGAGGCTCTTGGGGAGGGGCGTGACATTGTAACAGGAGAAATCTGCATTCCTGCTTCTCGGAATGCAAACAATTTAGGAGAAACAGCTGTTCTGCTTCCAGGGCTGTGCCAATCTTGGAAAAGCAGGTGAGCCGCATCTTGCCTTCTTTGTATCCAGTTCTCATAGGCTTTAATCTGCTCTCCACAATGTACCACCTCTGCCTCCAGGTATCACACCCCATGACAAGTCCTGTTTACAACTTCCCTGTGGGGATGTGCAGAGCCCAAGGGCAGGAGCCAAGAGCTCCTGGCAGCTCCTCCCCACACTCATTTCTGGAGCAGAACTTCTCTGTTCTGCTCTAGCTGCTAAGCATGTGAGTAATGGAGTGGAGAAACCACAAGTTAGACCCAACACCCGAGTCCAGAAAGCCACACTACACCAGTTACCTGGAGCTTCCCTATCTAAGTGGTAGATGAGTGAGCCTGTTGTCCACCATGGAACAGAAAAGTAGCTGGCATCTGCTCTCCACAATACAGTGACCTGCAAGTGCAGTGCCAACCGACAGGGTTATCCTTTGGCTGTACTGGCTCACAGATACATCTCTACAAGCAAACCAAGCTTCCAGTCAGGAAGGACAGCACCTTATCTTCAATTGTAGTGCCTAGGAGAGCACTGTGTACACAGCAGGGACTCAGAATGCTTAGTAAACTGTGCCCATTTTCTGGCTGTCCTGCATCTTGCTCTAAGTGGCTAAACTAAAAAGAAATGCAAGGGGTGACTCCAAAGGGATGAGAGAGCAAAGTGGAAGCCACCTGAAACCCTGAGGAGTCTGGAGAGCAGAATATAGGACAGTTCTAGGTAAGCCCAGGGCCTAGCTGAAGGTCACAGGTGCCCCCACACTGCAGTCCTGGGTACCTGGCTCTCTCCCACAGCAACACAGTGCAACATTAACATACTTGGCAAATTTCACAGTGGTTGCATTCCGAGGCACAAAGCCAGTGTGGAACTGGATCTGGAACATCTTCATGGACGCCATCTGCAAATGGCAAACAGGAGTCACTGAGGGCGCACCCTCACCTCAGGTCATAGAGCTCTCCCCAGAGATGACAGATGTCAGCTGGGGTGTGATTACCTGCTTTTCTTGCACATGGCTCGAGGAACAGGGAGCAGAATGGGTGACATGGCTAGCACCTCCTGCCAAGTGCTGAATGAGGACTGAGAAGATGCTACACAGGGGCCACCACAGTGCTCAGCCACTGCACAGGCAGTACCAAGGCCAAGACCAATAGCCCTCTCTGAGAATGTAGCCTGCCATGCTCATTGGGAAAGTTCCAGACCTTTCAGACTAGAACCCCCTTTGCCTTGTACCCTGTGGAAGGCACTGGGGACCAGTCCCAGCAGTCAGGGGAAGTCAGCTTACAGCTCACTGGACAGTGAGTATGACCCAGAGTCCTCTGTGAGAATCCAGAAGCTGAGACTCCCAGCCAGTGGCCACAGCAGCACTCACCTTGGCCTGCAGCCTCCCTCCCAGGGTGGACCTGGCATGGTAAATGACAATGAGCACGTCCCCTTGAACTGTTATGCCCAGGGGGATGACTGCCTTGCCATCCTCAATTTTAAATTCCCTAGAACAGAGTGAGAAGTAATTCACATAAGTAAAAAAAACACAGCAAGAATTCTGAGATCTTCTAAAGTACCAAACACTAAACCCACACATTCTTCGTGTACCAAATCACTGGGCAGGATATTTATTCTCAGAAGCCACTCTCACACACACGGCCATGGGGCCTTGCCCATGCCACAGCCCAACACAGGCCACAGGCAGCTTCATCTGAAGACAGAGGGTCTTCAGATGACTGGCAATGTCTGGGGTGGGATTCCTCACATTTGTACTCACTTCATCCTATCATACTCCTGAGATGTGGTGGTCATGCGCTCCTCTCCCACATAGACCTCACAGAAAGGCCGACAGCCATTCCTTTGCTTGCTGAACAGCGGCACAGGTGTCATGACCACAGCCTTCACCAGCATCGGCTTGCTGTGGGGTGTGATGGGCTCCTCCGCTACCATGTCACACACATACTCGATGTACCTGCGGGCAGGTAATGTCCCTGTCAGCCACATGATGTGACCCTGGGAGCAGGCCACACCAGATCTGTTTTCTTTTTAAATGTAAGCATTTAGTGCTACAAACCGCCCTTGAAGCAATGTTTTAGTTGCCCTTCATAAATTTGATGCTATATTGTCATGCGGTTCGAAATAGCTTTAAATTTCCCTTGAGACTTTCTCTTTCATTCACAGGTATTTAGAAGATGTTTAATTTTGACGTGGTTTTTTTTTTCTGTTACTTCTAGTTTTATTTATGGCATGAAAACATATTCTGTATGTACAATTTCAATTTGTAAAATTTGTTGAGTTTATTGCTCATTTAATAGTCCTCATGTCGTTTTATCTATTGGTGGAGTGTTCTACAGCAGCAAGTTAGGGCTAGCTGGCTGGTTGCTGATTTATCTACCACTTGTTTTATTAATCACTGAGAAAGGAATGTTGAAGTCTACTCTACTATTAATTTCTATTTCTTTTTTTGGAAGCAGGGTCTTACTATGTAGCCCAGGTTGGTCTTGAACTCATGATCTTCCTGCCTCAGTGTCCCAAGTGATAGGATTATGGCTGTGCACCACCATGCCTGGCTTCAATTTATTTTGTCTTGTGTTGACAAAGCTTCGCTGACTTTCTTTTGGGGAATGTTTTTGTTTTTTTGGGGTTTTTTTGTGAGACTGGGGTTTGAATTCAGGGCTTCGTGCTTGCAAAGCAAGCACTCTACTGTTTGAGCCACACCTCCAGTCCATTTTGTTCTGGTTATTTTGGATATTTGCGGGGGGGGGGGGGGTCTCATGAACTGTTTGCCTGGCTGGCCTCGATCCATGATCCTCCAATCACAGCTTCCCAAGTAGCTAGGATTATAGTTGTGAGTCACCAGTGTCTGGCTCCACAAGACATCCTTGCTCCTGTCTCCCACTGTGGTGTCCCCTCTGCAGGAGCCTGTGGAAAGCAGCAACTAACTCTGATCGACACGGGTACTCTTCTGCAGGTGTTCCTAAGTAGTCCAGAAGACAGAAGATGGAGGAAGCCATAGGACTTGGGTTTGTGTCCATCTGATGGTCAGCACAAATTAAGGACACAAACTCCTTTGGCCATAAGCATATGAAGGCTGCCTGTGGCCTGAGGGAGCCTGGACAAAGGGTCAATCTGAAGGAGCAATAGGCTTTCCCAGCTGGTCAGAGGCCAAGCTTCACTTGAAAACACCAGCAAAGGCAGGCCCCAATGACAGTCTGTGAGACCCAAGCAGTACCCAGTGCTGGTGCTGATGAGGTCTTTCCTGTGGCAGTGGGTAACCGTTGCGATCTGCTCCACACATTACCTCACCCTGTCCCACGCAGACAGTGTTGATGGCCTCTGCTCTCATCCAGTCTGTGGTCCCTCCTGGCCTTCTGACCAACCTTCTTGCACCACTTGTGTTAAGCCTGAATGCCAACATGGATGGACTGAAGTTTATGATCTTGTCAGCTATCTTCTATTGCTCCATTTATTGTTTCTTTTTATGCTTTCATCTTATTTTGTTCATTTACTAATTATAGCACAGTCTTCACTGGTTGTCCAGGGTTCCTGACAAGTTTGTAATTCATACCTTTCTTTCTCTGTGTGGCTTCCATTCTTCTGGCTCAGGCTATATTTGGGTCATAGCAGTTTGAACAGGGCTGGCATCAAAGGTGGGCTCTACATGGATGTTATTTTCAGTCCTGCCTGGTGCCCTCTCAGCTTCCTGGATCCATGACTGGTCTTTTGCTGGTTTTCAGTTGAGCAATACTGCTGATCTGTCTTTGAGCTCACCAGTTCACTCCTTTGCTGGGGAGAGTCCATTTGAGACTTCTGCTACTGTATTGTTCTTCTAACGTGACACCCTGATCTCACATCTTATTTGCCTTTCTCACAAAGGTCTTCAGCAGACTTAAAAAAATTATTATTATTATTATTGTGATACTGGGGATTGAATTCAGGGTCTCAATTGCTGGGCAGGTGTTGTTCCATTTGAGCCACACAACCAGTCCCCAAGTCCTTTTGCATTTGCTTTTCATTTGTTTTCAAACAGGATCTTGCACTTTTGCCCCAGCTGGCCTCAGACCAGGATCTTCCTACCTCCACCTCCCAAGGATCTAGGATTACAGTTGTGCAGCACTACACCTGATCTTTTCTATTTATTTTTATTTATTTATTTATTTTTTTGAGATGGGGGGTGGGTCTCATTATGTAGACCAAACTGGCCTTGAAGTTGCAACCCTTATGCCTCTACCTCCCAAGGGCTGGGATTATAGGCCTATGTATGCCACCAGGCCTAGCTTTAAATTTCCCACAGAGTTCCAACCAGCTGCTTGGTCCTGTGCCTCCTTCCCCAACCTTGCTTTCTTGTCTATCCCATGGAGACTGTGGACAGGTGCTGTCAAGACAGCAGAACCCTCCCTTACTGCAAGCCTCCTGGTCCACCTGCATCCACAGCATGCTGGGACCCCTCCCGTGGTGTCCACAGCATGCTGGGCCTCCTCCCGTGGTGTCCAGCCCCATCTGCCCTGACAGCAAGTGCTCACATCTCCGTGGCACTCCTTAGTTTGAGGGACAGCTGAGGCTTGAAGGCTGAGTCTCAAGAGGTTTGAGACTCCCTGTGAGGGGGCTGGGGCTCCTGGCTGGCTTCCAGAGGCCTTCCTCGTCCTGACTCCTCCTGCCCAGCAGGCCTGACATGCGGAATACAGGAGTATGACCAGCTGTGAGCCTGACGTGGTGAAAGACCCTGCCTGCCATCCCCTGCAGGGGCCACAGTGAGGATACAGACAAGGGCTATTGTCTCAGTGTGGCCAGAGGGACACATTGCTGTGAGATACTCTGCCCCTCAAAGAAGTGAGCAAATAAGGTGGGCCTCATTCTTATGGACCCATAGCTATGGGGACAGAGCTGCCACCCAGCTGCCCACAGGCCATATAGCCTGCCCAGGGAGGAAGACTAGGCAACCCTCTCAGGGACCTCAGCCCTGGTTTCTTTCTAACATCTCCATCAGCTTCTGGTCTTGTGTTCCACCCACATCCATGGTGAGGCCAATCTCTCAGAGGGAAAAAGGCTGCTCCAGACCTGACTGAGCCCACAGAGGGCATTTATGCTGGGTAGTGTCTCCTCAGATATGCACAGCAAAGAGAGGGACCGCTACTGCAGGAGAATGGACTGAAGTATACAGGAGTGGACATGGCTGGTGAATGCACTGGTCCCACAGAGAGAGGACAGAGCAGGTGGAAGAACTAGCGGTAACCTCAAGAAATCACTTCCTTTAACCTGCAGTAAAGGCCCTGATTATGCCCATAGGAGCAGCATGAGGCCTGAGCGCCTGTGGCCACAGGCACGTCTGTGGCCTCATAGTAAGCAGGGTAACAATTCACGTTGGCAACAGCATCTGGAGTCCACAGTGTGTTCCCATGTCACCTTCAAAGGGGCTCCCCTGGGGCACAGACCTGGGCCCTAGCAAGCATGTGGCCACATCAGCCTCCCCTACCTGCTGGAAAGCATGGTGTCCAGAAGCTGGACAAGGTGCTGCCACCCCAGGTTAGGGCCACCATAGCTCGGAAGTGCCAGCTGGGCATCAACTGCAGACCATTCTTGCTGGGTCCCTGTGGGCACAGGACTAGCGCCAAGCCAGAACCTACCATGGTGTTAATCAGGCCTATGAGCAAATGGGTGGTCTTGGCACTGAACTTGGAAGGCCTGGCCACAGTGATGGTGCATCCAGCACACCAAGGGCAGTGCCACCTTAGGGCCCATAGAGCTGGAGGCATCACCGTCACTAGTGAGGATCACCTGATACCTTTTGTGGGACGGCCAAATGCCTGGCGGGCAGCGCTTCATGCTGAACATGTACACAGCAGCCTCCGCGGTGCTGAAGAGTCGGCAGAAGCACAAGAAGGCACAGACAGCCACAGCAGATGCAGCTCTCCCGTCCTAGGACAAAGAGACACAGGCTCCTTCACACATGGCCCTGTGTGCCCTTGCGCAGGCAAGGACAAGGTCTTGAGTGGGTCCCTGGAGACTTCCTAACTATCCATGTGGTCATGCCTTGGATTTGAGTATACATTTAGGAATTCATACAAACATCTTTAATACAAGGACAATTCTGAGTCCAGCAGACAACCAAAGGGTCTTTAACAAAGCACACTAGCTGGCCAACTTCTCCCTGTTACTGTCCCCATCTGACCTCATACTCAGCACACTAGCCTCACCAGGCACTTAATGCCTTCCTGAAACCTCTTATCATTTCTAATGTAACAACACCTCCAGGACAGTATGGCTGAGCCCTGAGTGTGCTTTCTGTCAGTCACCACACCCCACATGAGGCTCCCAAGTCCCTCTTCCTTACTCTGCAGAGGGGAAACTTGAGGTAAGGGCTCGTTGGCCTTACCTAAGGAGGTGCTGAGGCAGGGACCCTACTCAGCAACATGGCCTTCATCTGGCTGTTCAGGTCAGGACACCAGAAGAACACTCACAAAGTGCTCCTTCCCCAACAGGGGACGGAGCCACTGAGTAATATGTGCCCACCAGATCCTGAGCTCTGACCTCAGAAGTTGTCCTCTGGTGAGGGTTTTCCATGTCACCCCTGGGACCAATGCCACTTTGGTCAAGAGACCACATGACCACAGATCACAGCAACTCCCACTCACCACACAGTGCACAACGCAGACGTTCCTGGGGTCCTCCCGGAGCCAAGCGTGCATGTTCCTACAGAGGGTGTACAAGCTGTGGAGGTGTGGCGCACGCCTGGCTGTCCAGCCACACTCAGAGACCTGTAGGGAGAGTGTCCCACTGAGCCCTGCTCTGGGCCAGCACCATGAACTTGCCCAACATCTTGGCACAGCCACCTTGCGTCTGTATGCCCACTCTGCACATAGCATAGTCCTCCTCAAAGGCTTCATGGATGTGGTAGCTTGGGTGCCTGAGCACCTTCCTCAGCTGGAGTTCTCACAAGACAATGTTCATCTCAGCTGTAAGTACTCTGTGCCACTGGGCAATTCACTGATGCCACAAAAAGAACCACCTTTTCCTGCACTTTGTATCAATTTAGACAGTACGAAAAGTGCTACAGCTGAGACTTATCTATCAAGAGAACAGGATGGCCACAAGCTACCTTGAGGCCAGGAGCAGCCAGAGGGAGGTAGGCACCCAAGGCTCTTGGGAAGCACCAATCTTCCACTGACTTGATTGGCTCCACCAGGTATTCTCCCCATGGTCTGTATTGTGAAGCCTCCTTCTGAAGATGCCTTCTCTTGCCCCTAGCCCTATCCCTGGTTTCCCACCACAGCCCATTGTGGTCAGGCTCCACTCTGTTCCTTGCAGCTGCCTGGTGAGGTGGAGATCAGGCCAAAGCTGTAGCTAGTGGCAAATCCATGTCCTGAAACCACTAAAATGGGAGAAAAATGCAAAGTCGCAAAAGATAAAATGGGACCACTTACCCGGTTGTGGAATTTGGAGGCCCGGTACGTCCTTGGGGATAAATTATACACAGCATAGTGTCCTGCGTGCTTAGCATCCAGAAACAACCTCACATCTTCTATGTTATTTTTGATTGCTGACTCTACACCTTCTGCTGGGAAGGACATCACTGAAACAGAGCAGACCCCCATCAGCTGTCACATGGGGACCCCCCTCCTGAGGCTGCATTCGTGTCCTGGTCAAGCAGCTTCCTACAACTTCACTGCCCAGGCTGCTGGCCCCTATAGGCCTTTCTCTTTACTCTCCCATGGACAGCTGGGCAGTGACTGAGTAGATCCCACCAAACCACCCACAGGGACCTCAGAGTTTTACAGATGCCTATCAGAGTCCTAGGTGCCATGATAAGCTTTTCTGGTTACTTTTTGCCCAACTTCAGATGTGAATACCCAGTATCATCACCTTGGAGAGCCACTGGTGCCAAAAGTTGGGCTCAAACTGCCCTGTCCACTGCACAGACCAGGATGTGTGCTGGGCACAGGCTGCCCACGACTGCCCCTCTGGAATGTTGCCCCAGGCCAGGCCTCAGGCCAGTTCATGGTTGCCATGAAGAGAAGAGGCACTTCAGTTGCCTCTGCTGGCCCTTGAACCAGGTCCCTAACAGATGGTCAGCACCCAGAGCTGCATCATACGCAGAGGGCCAGAGGTGCATTCTACAGCCTGACCCAGCCTGTAGACTACAATCTGGGGATGTTCTGAGACATACCTGCAATCCTGGATGTGACATAAGATATGTCCAGGTCTCCTTTTGCATAGCTGGAATTAAAGGGAGTATTTATTTGATCACTATAGGAAACATTAGGAGGTTATCACAAGAGCTTCAACTGGAGACCCCACCACCTGGGGCAGCTCCACATGGTATAGGCCAGGCCTGGTGCAGCCTGGCACTTCTTCACATGCTGCTCCCACACTTACCTAGCCACAGACTGGATGACCTTGGAGGAGGTGTCCTTGAGATTAGTGAAGAGTCGCTCTGTCCCACCCCGAAGGATGTCAAAGAACCCACCGTAAGGCTGGTCATACTCAGCCAGAGCGAGGCCTGTAGGGGAGACAGACCTCAGCAGGTCACAGGCGGGCAAGGCAGGTGAGGTGAGCAGCACACAGGAGGCCCCATTGGCCCCACACACACCCAGCTGGTACAGACATGATCTAGGCTCTGCAGCACCCCAGGAACACCAAGCCCACACAGCGTGATGCAGAAGGAAGCACGCAAGAACCTACTCTTCCCACAGCCAGAGGAGGCACATCAGCCACTGTACTGCTAGGCACACAGGGTGTGGTCCTGAAGTGCCCAGGATGCTGAGCTAGCCACCTATCAGGGCCAAGAGCTCCCTATCCAGGAAACAAAGATCTAGAGAAGAACCAGGTGAAACCTTGACACCCCAAGAGATCAGGAGGGGGCTCAGCCCATGGCAAGCATGAACACATTCCTACCCTAGGACTCTCATTACTCCCTATAAACTAAGACCCCCCTCCAGGGACCCCAAACCCTTCTCTGGTATCCACACCATACAAGGTAGAAGACCACTGCTCAAACCATGATGGGACTGGCCCAGCCATCTTTTGCCTGTGCCCCTCCTCCCACAGCCCTATCCCTACTCCTGTTCTGCTCCACCAGACACCTCTAGTGCTCTGTCCCCAACTCCCAGAAGGGACCCTGGGACACCCCCAGCCCAAGGAGCGTCATTTTCCTATTGTCTTGGGCTGAATAGACAGTGCAGGCTATGGCATGACTAATGGTGGGGTCCTGGACTATTGCCTGACCTCAGGAGGAGCTGGAGCCTGAGGTTAGCTGTACACATAAGATTGACCCCACAACGACGCTGTTTGGCCCTGTCACAACTCCTGTGGGAAAGGACGCCTGGTTTCTCTTAGACCCTGGCCTGCCACCCCTTTTCTTGCTGACTTGAATCTGAATTCTCCTCACTGATCCTATACCACAACCTGAGCACATCAGCTCAGCTGGGAAATGGTGAAGCTAAGAACTCAGCCTTATAGTCTATCTCCTGCTACAAGGCTGGAGCCCCATGGAACAAGATTTTGGGGTCTAGCCCAATGCGTGCTGGGTGTCTGATACACAGAAGGGTGAACTTTCTGTGGGGCAGACAGTGAGCAGGTGAGGGTACTTACCTCCACTATAGCCACTGGTCACGGGGCACCCAGCAGGGGGTGGCACTCGGGATGGCCCTGGGTTCCCATAGCCTCCATTCTGCTCCAGCAGCTGTTAAGAGTCAAGGACTCACAGTCAGCTTCCCACAAGAGCTAGAGCTAGTTTGCACCTGCCATGGACACCAGTACTTTAAGTTTTTGAACCCTGGCCAGCAGACAGGTCAGTCTATCCATGCTCTATCTGATTTGCTGTAACATTCAAAGGAAGATGTTTTTAGGAGTATAGGTAAAGGGCAGAGAACACTTCACAGATAAAACTTCCACTCACAATTCTGAACTGACACTCAGGAAACAGCTGCCAGCTGCACACCTACACTCTGGTCCTATTACCACATGTCCAATGCTTTAAGTTTGTAGGTTTTAGTTCTGCTCCTTTTTCTCTTCCGTTTTTCCATGATCCACTGGACCACCTTGAGCAGATATACTATGCATGCAGCCCAGAGTGTGAGTACCTGGTGTTCTGGTGTTAGGGTAGATGCCTCTGCCAGCTCCTCAGACCAAGAATGCATTTTGCTGTGAGCTCAGCCCCATGGCACAGTGCTGTGTGGTAGAGTCGGCTGGTCCCCAAAAGGGGTTAAACAGGTGCTACAATCACTAGGATCAGAATGCACCCAAGCCACTCATCTAGCAACTTCAGAGCACCTGACACCTTAAAGTACATCCTTCTCCTAGCTTCGAGGTCCCCTCCTGATGCCCCTGAATGGGGGCATCAGCCCATTTCCCCAAAGGTATCACACACTTGACCCTTTCACCCACAACCTCTCTGAGGGTCCAGACTCCATGTCCTATACTGACCTCTCAGCAGAAGACTGTGCTACCTCATAACTAGCCCCAAGTCAATGGTTGCTGGGAAGTTCTGCTTCTAGCTACAGGGGAGTAAATAACTCCAACAACCAGAAAGCAGACAAAACAGACACCAATGTTCCTATCTCTGCAGTGATCCAGGAAGGGACTCACCTTGGCAGGGAGAAAGAGGCAGGGACAGAGGGGAGGGCAGCAGAATCTGGCCTGAGCCCTATGCTATACAGAGAGTAGGGAGGCTCTCAGAGGTACCAGAAATCTGCCCATGCCCCAAGCAAGGGTGTGGGCCAGCCTCATGGCTACTAAAGGGTCCTTGTGCATTCCTGGCCTGCCTGCTTTCCCCAAACATATAGTGTGGGGGGTCTCAACTCAACTGCCTGCCAGGCAAAGAACCACCAGCAGCAGTGTGTGCCAGACCCGTGGGTAAAGCGTGGAGATGAATGCAGCCAAGAGACTGTGAAGTCATGCCTGGATGTCTGACCCCAGAAACTATGATGTAGAAAGTAACTCACACACTACCTGAACCCAGGTAAGAACTACTAGATATGTGATAGAGTAATCATTGCGGCTCATCTGGACCATAAGACCCCCTGAGCCAGGACCCAGGGAGGCTCCTTGGTTGGGTTGGCCTGGGCTGCAGCAAGCTCTAACTTATGTGACTGCCATGAGCCTTTGAGAGTCTGTGATACAGGGGACCCTCAGAATAACACTGAGAACACAGATATGCAACACCAGATGTCCAGATGTGACACCACGTCCAGATGTGACCAGAACTGCATGACACCCTTACCTCTGTGATGGGAGCCTTGGGGTTCACATTCCTGGCTGCTGCAATCTCCTGCAGCTGGCGCACTACCTCAGCAACAGACAGCCGTTCTTCAGGGTTGACCTTCAGCATGGCACCTACATCAGAACACACCAGAGTGCACTAAATTGATGTTACCTAAGCCTGGGCCCAGGCACTACCTGCTCTTGCACAGCTATCAAACGCAGAGGCCACTCACTTTACACACAGTGCTGACAAAACTGAACAAGGTGATATGAAATGGCCATTCAGAGCATCATAAGCTGCTCACCAAAGGGTGAGCAGGCAGGGCCCTCTATGAAAGAGCTGCTACCAGGATGCTGTCAGAAGAGCAATGAAGGAAGGAGCTGGGGGCAATATGGCCAGTGAGCAAGCCCAGGGCCCTACAGGGAGGCTCATCTCCCCAAGTCCCTGCATTGAGCAAACTTTCAACAGGAACTTACGAATGAGGTCGTGGAAGACTGTGTACCGAGTATCATTCACAGGAATTGAGTACTTCCCATTGACTATCCGAAGTTTTGCTCCATCCTCAAAAGGATGCTGCTGGAAACACAGCAGGTACAAGATACAGCCCAGGGCCTACAGGGAGAGCAGAGGCTGAGTGGGCGTCTGGAGGGGAACAAAGGTTGAGTCAGGGCTTCAGGGAAAAAAGGCACCAGCTAAGAGCTGGGCACAAAAGAGCAACCCATTCCTTAAGGACCCTTGAGGGGCATCAATCAGGTGCCTTTGGAGTCACACCCTTACAAATGACAACCTTGCTAGTAAGCCAGTGACAGCACTCCCCACCTTGTCCAAAACAAAGAGATGTCTAGGCGGCAGCAGTTATTTTCAGATCAAAAGGCTCCCTTCAAAGTTACAGGGTTCCTACTCAAGCATCACCTCTATGGCTGGTGGGGGCCATGAGGACCTCACCACGTAAGGGCACAGTGAATACCAAGGACCAGCTCCATCCCACTCCCAGCTACAGAATGAGCAGCAAGAAGGGCACAAAAACAGCTGAGGATTCCCATAGAACCTACCTCTTCCTAAGGTTCATTCTACCCATCAAACCCAACTACATGGACAGAAAGGAACTGGGGGCTACTGAGGCACCAGGATTTTGTACACACAGATCCTGTGATGAAGCACACTAGCTGTGTTCCCATGGCTGATACATACTAGGGGCCACTCTCAAGTGGACCAAGACGTGAGAAGCTAACAAAGACACAGTAAGGGTTCCCATCTTTCCAAACACAATGGGTTTCTACCTAAACCCAACATGAAGATATATGCCCACAGTGGGGTCAGAACAAACCCCTTATAAACCTCCAGTGGGCAGATCCTTGACACAGTGGATTGGGGCAGGAATTAATGTAGAGTTAGTAGTCACTGTCCCTGTCCTTAGAGGATGCTAGTGGCTTTCATCACATCAAGGAGGGCACAGAAGCACAGAGTAGACAGGGTTCACCTGGAAGAGCTGCACAATGGACGGGGGCGGGGGGGGGGGCGGGCAGGTGATACTGTGACACACAGTCTTATTCTGTTTCCTGGCATACAACCCCTAAAATCCTTAGAATGCTCAAAGTAATGTTTTCTATGGTAAGAAAATGACTCATGGCTGGCCACCCTAAGTAACTTCAGGGTGGGGCTGGTCACCAGAAAGACCAAGGCAGGATAAGAGGGCTGGGGCATTCGGCCCTATCCTTCAACTTCTGGGAAGGGGAGAAGAGGTGAAGGTTGATCTGATCTCCTATGGCCAGTGGTGTAATCAATCATGCCTGTGTACAAAGCCTTCACAGAAACCAAAGGAACAGGGTTCAGGAGAGCATCTAGACAGCTCAGCAGGTGGAGGATCTTGGAGGGTGGTGTACTGGGTGGGACATGAAGCTCCACCCCTTGCCCTACACATCTCTTCATTTGTACCCTTTGTAATACCATTTATAACAAACTGGTGAAAGTAGTAAGTGTATCAAAAGTTCTGTGAGCTGCTCTAGTAAGCTAATCAAACAAATCAAACTCCAGGAGGCGTTTGTGGAAAGCCTGGTACATGGCCAGTCAGTTAGGACAGGAAAAACCACCTGGGGCTGTAAATGGCAACTGAGGGGGGCAGGTGGGAACAGAGCCTCACCCTGTGGGGACTGACACTGTCTCCGGCAGACTAGAGTCAGCTCTGACTTGGACTAATGATACTCCAGGGGCATCCTCTGCAGAACTGACTACTCCTGAGGTCACGCAGGTCTTTTGTGTTGACCTGGTGGTATGAGAGCAGAGCAGCTGACCTCGATTAATGGGGACATGATTGTGTAGAAAAGTGAAGCCCCTGGACCTTGATCAGCCACAGCAGAGACACCCCTGGCCCTGCAGCTCAGCGACAGGGACAGAGGTCAGGACAGATATCAAATTGAGGAGGGGGAGATTTTGCTGCCACATGCCATCTGTGCAGACTCAGAGTCACACTGATACCCCAACTGCACTGTCAATTCACCTCAGCTATAAGCATTCACCAGTGATACATCACAAAATGAAGAAAGGAAAGGGAAAGGGGAAGGGAAGTGGAAGGGGAAGGAGAAGGAAAATAGAAAGAGTAGGGGAAAAGGGGGTTGAGAGGACATGAGGGTCCAGGACAGATGGGGTGGGAGTCCTCTATGCACAGGCCCTGGGTCTCCTGCCTGGGCACCACCAGGGGAGGCACTCAGGCCTTACCCAGATATCCTGCTTCTCGCCGATGGGGAAGTTAGAATACAGGTCTACAATTTCTGGTGTTCTGTACATGGGTGTAGTATTCCTCGTGATCTGAAAATACAAATGTTTCGAGATCAAGTTACACATAAGCAGCATTTTTGTTTTGCACAGATGCCCTGCAACTTTCCAAACTCTACCACAGGCTAGCAGTACCCTATCATCTCACAGGGCTGATATGCCCCAGAAGAACCTCAGGTCACTCAAGTGCCCACGTACTGCTGCACTGCAGTTTACCTTATGGGGATAATCTTTCATGGCCACCTAGCTCTAAAAAAAGTATCCAAGGTATTGCCTACTGCCCATTTTGTTTGCTCAGAGGAGGTGTGTAATATGCAACACAAGACACCTACTATAAGATGTACATGTAGGCCAGCTCGTGTGATGGCATTATCTAAGTGGGTGAAAGAAAGCACTACTGAGAGTAGCTTCTAGATGAATTCTAGTGGGGACACAGCATCTGCAACAGAATAACCAGATTTACTGGTTGCTCAGGTCTTAAAACTGAGACCCACATAACACACAACAAAGCAAACACACCAACCCCAAGACCACAGATTCAAACAGGAAAAGTAACCAATACATCTCAATAGTCAGGCTTCAGACAAGCAGTGATTTCTTAGAGTAGGAGAGGTGAATGAATGAAAAGTAGGATGGACTGTGATTCAAGAGGTCTCCCCCAAGGATGGCAAAACAGTCAGTCACAGACAGGGTTCTATGTGAGATGCAAATCCAACCAGGGCTCACATGCAAGACTCTATGACTCCAGGAGACAGAGAGACTGGATGAGGAGTGGGCAAGGGGCTGGGGCTCAACTGGCAGAGGGGCCATCAGGTAAGACAGGGAAGCCCAGGCCCTTCTGCATCTAGTAAAGAGGTGACACCAAGCTGCACAGTTACAACTGCGCGGCCATATGTGTGACGCACTTCCATTAAAAAACTTCACTTGCCTCCACTTTGTGGCACTGACCCTTCAATCCGTAAACCCTACTCTCAGGAATCCACCATGAAGGCTTATCTGCACCACAAGGGTGCACTGCATGTGGTGATTCTGAAAGTGCCTACAACCTGCTGAGAAAAGCGGGGGCAACATGTACTTAGACCAAGGTGAACAGAGGGAAGGACGCAGCTATGGAAACCAACTGAACCAAGGCAGACCCATTTCATAGAGAACAGAAAGTGGAAAACAAGTCAAAACAGAAAGAGCACCACAGGGTAGGAGTGAACAGAAAGCAGATGGGGGAGGGAGGAAAGCAGGACATGCTCATCTCTGCAGAAAAAGGCTAACAAAGGAAACACAAATGAGGCCTGGAAGCTTGAGGGGAAGTGGCATACGGCAACTGCTGTGGAAAATAATGTTAATAAAGAAGAAAACCCAGATACATTTCCATTATGTAACAACCACATGGAAGGAGAAAACAATTCTAGCAACTTATGGACACTGTGTCTGGCAGCACACCCAGCCTTGGGTGCAGAGGAAGAACTTCACATCCACCCTGAACCCCTAGCATGCCATGAACATGCAATTCTGAGGCTGCTCGTGCTGCAGCAGGAGTGCTAGTAACACAGCTCTCATTGAGGAGGAAGGGTCGAGGCAAGAGCCCTCTGGAACATGCTGGGCTGGAGGTACCGTGTAGACCAGTGGTTGCTGTTCCAAGAATGAATACCTGCACACCTATGTGCACTGCATAGGTAAGTACATCTTCTCAAAGGGCTTGGAGGGACACAGCTCCAGCAGGGCTAAACACACCTATCCCCAGACTATGCCATTCCCCAGGTCTGGTGGCAGAGTTTCCCAAAGGCGGCCAATCTCAGAGCCAGGGCAAGTTAGATACCTGATTTCCCAGAACATCCTGTCTTCCAAAAAGCAAGTGCTCCAAAATGATGACATATTAGCCTGTTTTCTATTGCTAATAACACAATACCACAGGCTGGGAAAGCTATAAACAAAGGAGGCTTACTTTGGCTCATGATTCTGGTTCAGGGTTGAGGGCCCATATCTGGTGACAGCCTTTTTGTTGGCAGTGGCCCTGGTGCAGGGGCACAGGGAGTATGCGTGTGTATATGTATGTCTTCTGGTCTCTCCTGGTTATCATAAAGCCACTAGGTTTCAATCATGGAGGCTCCACTCTGATGACCTCATCTAATCCTAATCACCTCCCCAAGATCCCATTTCTACACCCACTGAATACTTCATTGTGAGGATTAAACTCCAGCATGAATTTTGGGGAAACAAAACACATCAAACCTTAGCAAATGGGAAATGTACAATAAAACAAAACAAAAACCCCAGAAGCCCCATGAGACCAACTTGGGACATTTATGCACCAAAATAATTGAGGGCACAGTGAATCATGAGCATAGGAAGAATGGCACCCATAGCTCTGGTTCAGTGATGTGCAGAGCACTGACAATTCAAGAGGCATGTCATGACTGTAGCAGACTACAGGGTGTCAGGAGCCAGGAGGGGTGAGGAGGGCTCACCACACTGCAGGTGGGCAGGACTCAAGGGATGTGGGGCTGAATCTAAGCACCTCCAGGTTAGCAAAACTTGGGGAAAGATGACTGAATAGAGATGCCTAACTGGACGATTCAGGTGAACATGGCCCCAAATGGTATCTGTCTGGAGTAGTGAAGGCTGACAACACTGTGAGCCCACTGAAAAGAATTGTTCTTACTGGGGAGCAAGATGGGATAATGTCCAGCTACAGCAGGGCCTCCTTTCTGAGCTCTGCCCAGCCTCTTCCTTGGTCTTTAAGCTCAGTCAACCATGTTGGGCACCCCACAAGTGGTGCTCTGGGTAGCCCTTTGCAAAGGACAAGACCCACAGGTTTACAGATGATCCAAGAAACACAGCTCTGATGTGATAACAGATGCCCCAAAGAGCCCAGAAACTTGGCCTTCAATAAGGCCTGTTTCATGTTAAGGAATAAACACAAGTGTCAATCACAGGCAGCACTCCACGGCACTGTACCTCTTCTCACGTGGCCACTGCACTGGAAGCAGGCACATCCTCCCTGTGAAAGTCAACCTGGCCTTGAAGCAGCCTTGCCTGGCAGCGGGGCAGGACAGAAATGCTGTCCCCTCCTTGACAGCAGGAGTATCTCCTTCATCCATCTTCTGTGTACCTTTGCACCTGGGACCTCTCTGCCCCAGGGCCTATGGCTGTTCCTCTGCTCTGTACTGTTTTGTTTGTACAATTCACGTAAACCCTCTATGAAGTATAAGCTACTGCAGAATGGTGCACACAATGTGAGGGTGCAGTCCATCCTCCTGCAGGAACAGGAGCCTCCTGGACAGAACCACTGAGTTTCCCAGAAAAGTATGTTTCTAAATGATTCCTTTAAAAAATTTGCCATATTTGGATTAACAATGGTGGTGATGGCTGCACAACACTGTGAATGTGCTTAATGCTACTGAATTGTGTATTTAAAATGATTATGATGGTAAAATTTATATTATGTACGCTTTTTGACAAAAAGATAAATCCCAGGAGTAAACAAATCAAGTCAGGTTTGACCTGAAGAGGACAAGATGAAAAGAACCTTCCACAAAGCAGTAAAGGGCAGCCTGGAGCAAGACAAACCCCCTCCCACCCCATGCAGCACCAGGGAGTCTGTTCGGAGTCTGAATGACAGGGACACACTTAATGCATGTGCCCAAAGAATCATAGGGAGGGCTGGCAGAGTGGCTCAAGTAGTAGAGCACCTACCTACCTAGCAAGTGTGAGACCTGAGTTCAAACCCCAGTACCACCAAAAATTAAAAAAAGATTCACAAGAAATAAAAAGAGCGTGAGGAAAAAGGAAAGGGACTGAGCAGAGACTTCCCCAGAGGGCAGGCTCCAGTACAACATCTCACCTCTTCCTCCACCATCGCTCGCTTCTGAGCACTCCAGCTGTAGTCCGGGTAATGTGAAATGGTCGTGGCACTGCCAAAGTCACACAGCTTAATGGTCCCCTGGTTACTAAGCAACAAGTTCTCAACCTGCAAAGTTTCAGAAGATAGTCCTTATGAACTTAGGGTGCAGACACAGCCTGATCTCAGCAAAAACACACAGGAGCGCTAGAGACAGGAGAGTCTTATAAGGTATCCTTCTGCATCTAGGTGAGGCTGCTGGCCACCAAGGGCCACCCTGAAGACTTGAAAGACTGAGGCACCCCAACTGTGAAGGTGCAGCCCATCCACATACTGCAGCAGCACAAGGCTGCCTAGGCCTAGAGAAGGCCTTGGCCATGGCAGCCCCTGAGAAGGAGGAGGGCTTTCACACAGAAGTCAGCAAAGTGGACTTCCTCAAAGAGGAGACATGCAACATCTGCTCAGAAGCAAATAGATGCACATTTATATTAAATGTATAAGTCATAGAAATTTTTTAAAGTTAAAAATCATGAACCAAACATGAGACATAATGAATCATCAGAAAAGTCAGAAGATGAAAGAATTTGTACTATGCCGTTTATAACTACTAAATGTGTCAAGACCAGAGGAATAAATCCAACAAAAGATGGACAAACGACTTCCTGTGTAGAAAAACATAAATGGAGATAAATTTTTAAATCCAAAGTAGTAAATAGGAAACTATATCAGGCCCCTAACAAGAGGTACAATGTTAGTGAAGCTGAGGAACCTGACACATGGCCAAGGCAGGGGCAGCAACTTAGGACCCAGAGCCAACTCTAGCCACCACAAGTCAGGAATGGTTTTTAGTTACTTTTTTTGTTTTTTGGCAATTTGAACTTAGGGCCTCATGCTTGCTAGGCAGGCACTCTCTGCTTGAGTCATGCCTCCAGTCCTTTTTGCTTTGGTTTTTGAGAGCGTTTTTACCAGGGCTCCTTGTACTGCTTCCCTACATAGTTGGGATGAGAGGTGTATGTCATGAAGCTGAGCTTTTTAATCAATTTATTTTTTTTACAGGTCTTGCTAACTTTTTGTTGGGGCCAGCCTTAAAAGAGATACTTCCAATCACTACCTCCCAAGTAGCTGAGATTATAGGTGTGAGCCACCATGCCTAGATGGGTTTTTACATTTTTAAATGGTTGGAGGAAGAAAAAAAATCAAAGACTAACATTCCATGACACATGAAATTCCAATTCTCGAGCACAGTTTTCTGGCACCCACCCATCCCATTTCAGTATCTTAAATATCTGTACACTCGTGCCCTCCAACAGAGTGGGATGTCCCAATGGAGGTGTCCAATGTTGGACAGCCAACATTCCTAAAGTCTGGCTTTCTCCTGAAAAGTCTGTCAACTTGGCTAGGCAGTCACAATTAATTCTAATCAAATTGTCATTTGTAGAAGGAAAATGCACAAACCACACCCACCCACAAGACTTGCCTAGCCTATGGCATGCCACAAAGTGACAAAGGGCGGTGCATGTGGAACCCATGTGCTGCTGGAACATTCATATTTAAATACACACTCCTTCCAACTTCAGGGGACACCTCTCCACCGGCCAGCAGGCAGGGCACCAGGCAAAAAACAAGGGAAGTAAAACCCAACGTGCCATCTGAGCAAAAAGAAACAGTGTAAGATAGAGTACTACAAGGTGGAGCTATGCACAAGGCAGGTGAATTTCAACATCCTAACACTGAGCAAAAGAAGGCAGGCACACTCTGTTCACGATACCCACAGCAGAGAAAACACTGCCCTGAGGAGCACAACACACAGTCACTGAAAGCCAGGTGGCTGTCGCCTCAGTGGAAAGACATGGTAAATAGGAGGTACTGTGTGTGCACTTGCACATTCCTATGTCTATGTTACAGTGGGCAGTGATTAGAGGAAGGCAGCCCAGGTGGGGCCTTAGCAAAGTGGGGCTCCTGCAGTGAGGGGACATAGACATTGCCATGGAGTAGCAAGGACACCTTACTGGGGAGACAAGGGATGCTAAATCCATGCCAAGTTCAAACTGACCTTCCACTAACTATCCTTAAAACACACACACAACAATCCACCACATTCTGAAGATGTAAACCAGAAGATTCCTGATGCTGCAGGAAAGCCCAACAGCCACACAGTGACCGCTGAGGAGCCACTGGGGGCAAAGAGCAGGACCATGGCATGAAGCTCTGCAGGTCCAGTCTCAGGAAAGCTTCACTTCTTACATCAGAGTAGGGACTCAAGCAACAAGGTTTCTGGAAATTTAGGTGGTCTCAGAACCTTGAAAAACAATTCTATTGAAAGTAACCATGAGTGCTAGATAGAATGGTTGGAAGGAAGGAAAGAAAGGAGGATGAGAAGGGAAGGGAGAGAAGGGCAGGATGAAGAAGGGGAAGGAAAAAAAGAAGGGCCTCTCATGGGGTGAGTTCCAGGAGTTGTTTCTGAGACAGGGCATCTGTACAACTAGTCACCTTAAACCCTGGTTTTCTATGCCCCTCTGAGTTTGGGGGACAAATGGGAGGCCAGGCTCCCTATGGTTCAACATCCATAACTCCTAGTGAAAGGCAGCAAACAGAACCTAGCCCACTGCATCCAAAATCTGGGACTGGATGAGCTGGCATGTAACAGGTCAGAGGAGAAAGAGTGGCAGTCTCAGGGCTATCACTCTGGGGGTACACAGGAATCTCCCACACACATTAAGGCCAGATCACTGGGAGAGGAGGTGAGCCAGCCTGTCTATTGGCAGACACCTATGCAAGGTGTGGGTGCCAAGGGCATCCAGATGGAGAAAGGAACATTGCCCCATCCCACAGTCTTCAAAATGAGTAAAATCCAATGCAGGAAATGCCAACATCAGCACAGAGTAGTCACCCAGGGGAACTGAGGAGCCTTAAAGCACAGGGTGGAGATGTTTGAGGCCCAAGGTTTTAGGAGGAGCTCCCACACTTTAGGGAATACCGAGGAAGGTCAACAACAGACAGGCCTCAGGTGGACACTCAGGGATTATGTTTGCTTTAGTAGGCAACAAACAATACTATGGTTATATAAGAAACACCCCAGGGTTGGTGGAGTGGCTCAAGTGGTAGAGCACCTGCCCAGCAAGCATGAGGCCCTGAGTTCAAGCCCCAGTGCTGAAAAAAAGAAAAAAAAGTCCCAATTCCCTCAGAGATGAGCACAAAAGTGTCTGAGAGTAAAATGCTTTAAAATTCTTCAGCAAAAACAATCTCAGGTGAGGAGGAGACAGGGCAAGGATGTTTTATTGATGTCAGACGATTCTTACAAGTCTTATGAGTGAAAACTAAGCAAAACCAGGAGAAGACCCCTGCAACACATACAAACTTAAAGAGACTCTTGCAAGTATATGTCAGGAGTTACAATGATTCAAACAGACAAGTCACTAAAAAACAGAAAAAAGGCAAAATCAAAAAGGAAGTCAACTAAAGAATAAGGCACTGCTGATTATAAACATAACAATATTCAACTTCACTAATAACCAGAACAAGGTGAAATCACAACACTTATGATTATAACCCCTGATCAGGCTGGCAAAAATCACACAGGGCAATTCCAACCATGAGGCCTGTGGAATAGGCAGGCGCCATCCTCAGCTGGACCAGGGGAGACAACCACACCATCTACAGATGGAGTTGAATAGCAGAAGCCCTGAGAAGCAACATGGAACACAGCCCTTCCACAAAGGCAATGCTCGCACCAAGGTCAAGATCACTCCAGGAAGCCCACGTCTCCATGAGGAAAAGACTACAACCACACTTGCCAACACAGGGACCTGAGAGCCTGGCATGACAGGACAGGAGCCAAGCAGGGACTGTGCCCATGTGGGAGACGAGGGAGAGTAGGGGAGTGCAGCGCTCAGCCAAGCAGTGAGGGGTGCCTGAGAGACCAACAAGTGAGGTGGCCACAAAGTCTCACTTGCTAATGGTCTGCTCCAAGCCAGGGGAGCAGTATGCGAGGGATGCAGTGAGCACTTGCAACCACAGTTGGTACCTTGAGGTCTCTGTGGATGATGGGCGGCTTCTGCTTGTGCATGTGCTGCACTGCTCTGCATGTCTGGTAAAAGATCTTCAGAACGGTGTCACATGACAGAGGGCCTTTAGATTCAACTCTCTTTAGAAACTCCACCAGCTGTCCTAAAAAAGACAATTGAATTTAATCACCTGGGGCTCCTTGATGATGGGCTCAAGGTCTCTGCTTGACTGCCCGGGCATGCAGGCTTTTCTGTGGCCATAGTTAGGGTGGGCACCTAGTTAGTGCCACTCCTGGCCATCCCTTCAGCTGCTGCAAGAAACTATAAGTACATGGGGAATCCCTGCGACCCTGGATATGGGCTGCCCCCAAGGCAGGAGTAGGATGGGTACCCCAGGAGGAACTGGCACGAAGCAGCCCAAAGACAGCACAAGAGGCAAAAGCAAGCAGGTCACAAAGTGACACACCACAGCAGATGGATGGAGGCTGGAGTGAGGACACAAATGCCCCAGTGCCACCAAGAGGATGACTACAGAGCCAGGCACATGCATAGTGGTACCTTCCTACAGAAATCACCAAAGTATAAGCATTGCCAGTATCTCTAGTGAAGTAATCATTAACTCTCCTCAGATGGCAAATGCTGCTTATCCATCAATATGACGTTTTCAGTACTGCACACACAGCCCTGAATCTGTACTGTGAAAATGTGTGGCTCCTGCAGGCTTCTGGTGAATGGCACCACCCAGCTCTCTGCCCTGGCTAGAAAGACAAATCCAAGTGGGGCTCGAAGGCTCTGGCCAAGTGTACAGCTCAGGACCTAGAGTTTGTTTGGGGCTGGAGATGCTGGTGGCTGCCACACACACTCCTATGCATCCTCCACAGGCTGCTCAAACTCAACCAGCCCTATTTTCATTCACCTTGTTCTTCTGTATTCCAGCCAGAGCCCCAAGCCCAGTGTTGTCCCTGGGTCTTCTTCACTCCATGCCCATCTGGTCTGAGAACCCACCCTCTTCTCAGCCCTGAGCCCATGCACTCCACTCTCTGCAGAGCAGCCCGGGACACTCTGCTCACCTTATGGTGATAAAACTTTGAATCACCAGATTCAAAATGAAAAAAAACTTTGTGATCCTCCTGACTTGGCCTCCTAGGTGCTGGAATTATAGGCATGTACCCCCATGCCTGGCCAAGAGATCTTTTTTTAAATAAAAACTCCACGTATGACAGAGCAAGAACAGCTAAATAACTCTCCCTTCACCTCTCCATAGGTGGAGAGAGTAAGCTGCTCAAAGACTTACAGCCCATCCATCGCAAGGGTGGAACTGTGGACTTCCTATGGGGGAATCAGAGAAGACCCACTGACAGAAGTGGTCACAGCCCATCCTGGGAGACTGACCTCAAGGCCTCCTTTTATGGGCCCTACACTGGTCGCTGCATAGTCTGGCAACTGTGCCCCACACTAGCCAAGCCCTGGCCAGCACAGTGATGCATATCCACAAGTGCCTCAGCATTCGCTCTGGCCTCATAGACAGGTGATTCCTGGGCAGCACTCTTCACAGCATGAGCACTGGTCACTTCTTATGGTGATAAAACTTTGAATCACCAGAAGGACACTTGGCATCCACAGAAGAGTGGAGCTAGGCAGTAGCTGGACTCCTCTGTTTTCTACCATCCAGCACAGGGACAGCACCTGAGCCCATTCTTGCCAACTCCTCCTCAACTCCACCTCAGAAAGCACTGAGAACCTGGTAACCACAGTTCTCGAACACATGAATCCTGCTCAAATTTCCAAAACCAGGATTTTCAACTACCAAGACTTGAGCCATACAAAAAACTTTCTGATGTCCCTAGCAATGAAGAAGAGAGGTAGTAAACAGTGATACCCATCATCATGGTACATGTGCAGTCTTTGTCACTGCCTGTGACCACCCTGATTATTGGACTGTTGCAGTGCCACAGTACTTGTGGATATGGCCTGGCACTGCCCTTCCTCTCAGGCATCTCCTGGAGGGCGGTCTTGGATATGGGGATGAGGGAATGGCACTACTGCCACAAACAGATGCTTGATACAGTAAAATTGTGTGTGCGTGACAGTGTGTGTCGGGGGTGGTTATTGAGACAGGGCCCCATAGCCCAGACTGGCCTCAAACATTTGATCCTTCTGCCTCAGCTTCCTGAGTGCTGGGATTACAAGCGTTACCACCATGCCCAGCTATGATACAGTAAATTTTTAGAAAGGGAAAGTAAAACGTAGCAAAACCCAATTTCACTGAGTGTGTATCTTTTTGTAATTGAAGTAACAGTTACAAGAAGCACTGGTGAAAGAAGCTGGGGTAAAAGCCTGAGCTGGAGGAGTCCTCAGCCCCAGTGCTGGACCTTCTTAGACTATAAAGGGATGGGAGAGCCCAGAACCCTCAGACTTGGTTTCTGGAACACCACAGACCACCCAAAAAATGAAGCGCTTACTGAGAAAATGAGGATCATGAGGAACAGAAAGTGACCTGGGAGGCCTCACGACTAACTGTAACACAGAAACATGACAGAACCTGGAGTAGGGGGAAGGTGTTATGAAGACATTCTGGGGACAACTGGAGACAGCTGAACACACACTGTATGTGACAACCACATCAAGTCACGAAGGACGCAGTTACAATGGAAAAGGCTCCTGCTCTTGGGTAGTTAAGTACAAACAAGAATTTCTGGTCTTGATGTCTGCCACTTGTCTCTAAAAGGCTCAGCAAGAACATGGGAGGGAGACAAAGCAACTATGAGAAGATGTTACAGATTGGTGAGCCTACAGAAATCTTTTAAGTTTCCAGTAACTTTAATACAAAGTTGAAAAGCACACAAAACAACGTGAGGAATCAAGTCTGCAGCTGTCACCTGACAGCATGTTCTCAGCACTGGTGCTCCTAACCCCATAGCCTCCTCTCCTCCGATCCTGCAGCAGAAACCACAGCCACAGGCACCACAGGGACCTTGCAGGTGGTGCAGGCCTGGCCACTGAGTGTGAGTGACAGGGATGGATGGGGCCTACAGACAGATGAGCAAGGGCAGGAAGGGGCACAGCTGAAGGGGAGGCCCTGTCCAAGCTGCAGCCTTGGACTTCTGACTGCACCCACATGCAGCTTCTGCTTCTGCCCACGAAGGGCCCACACCTGAGCTACACAGACCCCCACCCTCACCACTTGGCACAGGGACACACAGGCTCACCAGCAGCTGCTATTTCTACACACACACCTTATGCCTCTCCCTATCAGCTAAACACACCATTTTGCACTCATCTGTCCACTATTGGTCTATGTCCACTTTGGTCATCATAGCAGTTTTTCTCATGGGCACTAAGGAAGGCTGGGATGGCAGGAGGCAGCCTTCACGTTGCTGGGCTTCCTTCCATGGGCCTCAGTCTCCCTTGTTGCTCCTGCTCCTCTCTTGGTCTCTTCTCTCCCCAAACCCATGGACAGGTGGACATAAGCAGCCATTTGTGTCATGGCCATGTTGCTCAGGAAAGCATTCCCTTGCCACAAGCATCCCTGTGAAGGAGAAGAACACTGGGGAGGACACAACACTTGGCAGAAACTCAGGAGCAGAGCACTGTGGTGGAGCCTGGGGCTCAACACAGCTGGGGTCCTTGCCATACACATCACCTGTAGCCACTCTGCCTGTACAGTGCTCCTCAGTCCACCAGCCTCTCTCTGCCCTGCCAACAGATCAAGAGTCTTCTTGCCACTTTCTTGGGCCTGACTTTGATGAGGTCTCATGCCTGCTAAAAGCTCCAACTCTCCTCTCCTAATGACGCACTATTTCTGACTACCTGAGAACACAATGCAAAGCCATGAGGGGTGTGACTGTGTTCCTCCTTCCCTGATCATATACACTCACTGAGAGTCTACTGCATGCCAGCCTATCCTGTCTTGGGAAAAAGATGTTAATAAGAGTCTGTTCCCTCTGAGGCTAAGCCCAGTGAAGAACACATAGTTCAGATGACTAAAAGACTACTAGATGGTTGGCTCATTCTTTCAGTTAAGACCAAAGTGCTTTGAGAAGAGTCTGGAGATATTTTACAATTGTTTGACCATGTCAGAAAGCAACAATTTAGACTCCAAAGGCATTTTACCTTTACAGAGCTCTGTGAGCAGGAGGAACTCAGCCTGCCCAGTATCCGATTCCTCTTTTCCTATAGATGCTGCAGAACAGAACTGGACAATGTTGGGGTGGCCAGAAAGTTTTTTCTGCAGGTGTCTTGTTAAAGGAGAATAAGTAGAAACATGTCCACAGGTCTGCACTTAAAATAAACGTAAATACCACATAGACACCATTCGTGATACCTGAACTGCCTTCTATCTCAGCATGTCTGAGCAGAAAGATAAGTGAGGGGCAGGTGGGGATAAGGAAAAGGTGAAGTGTGTGGGAGGAAGTTAGCGAAGACAGCAGAAGTGAGCAAGTCAGGCAGTGACGGGCAGAGGCGTTCAGGGGCTCCGCAGCAGGAAGGCTATGAGGAATGACCCTGTGTCTACTCTACCCATGGCTCAGGAGTCCAGCAGATCCTCAGAGTGGGCAAAGCTTGGAGAGAAAGGGAAGAACATTCCATCAACATTAAAGGCAAGCCCCATCCCCCAACTCAGGGAGGACACGCAGAGAAAAGGAGAACAAGCAAGAAAAGCCTTGTAATCTACTATAGGTGCAGAGTGAAGAGGGCAAGCAGGATGGCTGATAAGAAGCCACATCAAGGCCTGCTAGTACTGTGGCCATCTATGTAGCCCTGCTCCAGGCCATCAGAGGGGTAGGGTCAGGTTCTCCCTATGGCAACTGCTCCATTTGCTTGGCATGAAGACCTCAAAGGCAGAAAGAATTAGCTCCAACACGTCTGACTTTTACTATGACCCTGGGAGTAAAAACAGGGAAGAAAACTCCTTTTCACTAGAAATGGTCTACAGGAAGTGTGATAAAAGCAAAAGGTCAAATTTAGCACATTAAACAGAACATCACAGAAACCTCCTGGCATCCGGGGTCATAGCCTGACACAGGCCAGTGTCTCCCTAAGAGCCGGCGCTGACTCTCAGTCCTGGGAAAAGGATACCAAGAAGCAAACTTCCTGAATGATGGCTCTGTTCTTTTCCTCTTCATTGGATAGTAACCTCTGTCAGGGAAAAGCACACAAAAAAGATTGAAGATTGTTTACCTTCTGCTTTATATATCACCTTATCTCAGACAAACACCCTGCAGAATAAAGGCACAGTGACTAAGGGACATGGTGTCTAAGGAAGTGCAACCTGTTAACTGCATTTGAACATATGACCTGACAGAAACTTAAGACCTTTGAATGACCTTTATGAGCCAAGGATAAAAGTAAAAATAAAATAAGAAAGACAAGGAGATAGAGGAGATGCTCAGCAGACATGGGCATACACTGTGAATCTCTAAAACCAGCCCAACTTGGGGCCTATGCCAAAGCAGAACCACCTGGGAACCTGGCATGGCATAGCTGCTGTACCTGCTGCTGTCTCTCAGGACAAAAGCAGGGCCACCCCACCAGGCACCCAGTCCTAGAGACCTCCCTCCCACCAAATCACCAAGACCCTATTTTCAGAGATTCCATGAACATGTATTCCACATGAGTGAACTCTTTATATTCCTGGCCCATTATTTTTGGCATATTGAGCAGAAAGGCTGCCAGCCATGGTGAAGTCATGCTCACTCCTCCTTCCAAGGCTGACTAGCAACCTGTGTAGGACAGGCATGTCCCATGGGAGTCCTCAAACCAAGCTGGAGTAATGGGCTTAAAGGTGAGCCTTGAGAAAGCACCAATGCAGACTAAATGTCAGGGACCCACTTCTGAAAACATCCCAAGATGTCTTTATAATACACAGAAACCCACATTAAGTAACATAAATATTATACTTTATTACCTTTAATGCATATTCTCTGCCACTTCCCAGATCTTGAGCTTCATATACAAATGCAAACCCTCCTGAAAATTAAAAACACTTGTCATTTGGTGCTAGGACTTAGACTGAAAAATACCTTTACTAGGTAAAATACAAACCAGACTGTGGCTATGGACAATAATTTGCCTTCCACAAAAAGCTGCAACCCAATTTATATACCACAGCCTTTTACATATTCTGCTTCAGAGATGGAAAGGAAAAGCTAGGGATCAATGAAGGGGAAAAAACAGAGGCAACCTGCAAAAGCCAGTACTGTGGAAAAAGTCAGACTGATCAATTCTGGATAGGTTGATCAAACCCAGAGAAAGACCAATGTGAAGAGGACAAACTGCTAATGCCTAGAGTAGGAAAATGGACATCACTGTCCCAATAGCCAAAGAAAAAGTACAAACCAGTATCACTCATGAAGATGGACCTGAGAGCTCTTAATAAACTCTTAACTGTAATATAATGTCAATCAAACCCAGTAATTTATAACAGGGGTAATACACCATGACCAAATAGAGTTGGTTTAACATCTGAAAATCAATTAATTCTATAGATTTTAGGTTTAATTTGCTTAATGTTTTTTTAGTTTCTTACAAGTAGAAAATCACATCATGAAATCTGAAATTGTCAGCAAACCAGAAATGCAAAGAGACTTCCTCAACCTGATAAAGGACCAACAGCAGTCTTGTACCTAGCGGGGAACTGGGATCAGGAGCAAGGCCAATGGGTAAGTGTTCATGTCACTGATACTCAATATTGTACCGGAGGCTCCAGCCAGTGCAATTGGACAAGGAAAGGAAACAAAAGGAAGAAATAAGGATGCTTTTATTTGCTGATAACATGATCTTCTATGTAGAAAATCTGTTGAAATCTCAGGAAAAAAACTACTGCAATTAAAACAATTTAGGAAGGCTACAGGTTCTGAAAACAAGATACAAAAGCCAACTGCATTTCTACAGAGTTGAGCCAATTCCTTACATATAAGCAGAGAAGCATGAGCCATTAAAAAACCAGGCAGCTGGGTACCAGTGGCTCACACCTGTAATCCAAGCTATTCAGGAGGCAAAGATCAAGAAGATCGGGGTTTGAGGCCAGCACAGGCAAAGAGTTCGTGAGACCCTTTCTCAAAAACACCCAACACAAAAAAGGGATGGTGGAGTGGCTCAAGTATAGAGCACCTGCCTAGCAAATGTGAGACCGTGTTCAAACCCCAACACCACACACACACACACACACACCCACACACAAAAGATAAATGAACTACATCAAATAAAGAATTTATGCTCCTTTAAATATACTGATGAGACAATGAAAACAGCCACTAATCAGGTTTTGCAAATCACCTATTTAGTAAAGAACATCTACTAGAAAATCCAAATCCAAGCAAGCACAAGCTCTAAACAGAAGTTATGGGTCTATGCATGGCACAGGAGGACTGGCTGGCTGAAGCTGCATGTGACACCTAGCCAGCACACAAGCCTACAGGTACACAAGCACCATAATTTCATTGTCTTCATTTTCTTCCCATTTACAAGTCACTAGCCACAAGTCCACGGATAGCTCAAGTCACCCATCCTGGCCACGCATGCCTCAGCAGTAGTGACCAGTCTCAGAAGCAGCAGCACACAAGACCAGAGTGAAAACACCAAGAGGGATCTAGAATACATCTAAACTAGGCACCTCTGACACTCTTGATACTCCCAATAATCTGCTTTCTAAAAACAATGAAAACTTAGAAGAAATTCTGGTAAAATTAGAAAGCTATATGGCTCCAAAGTTCTGCCCAACAAACCCACTTCATACTCGAGATTCATAAAAAAACATTTAACAGCAAAACCTGGTCAATCATAAACTCATTTGTGACAAAACCTGTCATGGACTGATAAGGGCAATTTGCAGACTTGAACCTACAGTGAGAACACTTATTCATTCAATTACACATGTGTCAATGTATTTGACTATAGAATAATTTCCTAAGCCCTCTGGAAGTATCCTCTGATATACAGTTTATGTCCTGAATTATTTTTTTAAAACCTGAAGAATTCTGAAGATGTAAACACCTACAACCAAGGGTTTTGGGTTATGAGCCTTTCTCACAGTCATCATATGAGACAGCTGAACCCCTATGATCCAAAGCTGCTGTCCAGGAAACTCATTTAAATACATTTATGTAAAACACAACAGGCTTCTTACCCTGCTTCAGTTCAGAAAGAGGCTGCAAACAACCCATTAAGTCTAAAAGGAGGAAATCTGCGGCTCACAATTGTGCTGGTTATTTTTATCTCCTGGCTGGCCCAGGAGCAAAAGGAACAAGTTCCTCATCACAGAGCTGCCCACACTTCCTCGTTCTTCACCCGGGTGCTGCGTGGCCTGTGCAAGCTTCCTGCTTTACATGAACCTGCCTCTCTTACCAACCAGGACCACCTCCCACCAGCGATGGCCTCCTGGCCTTGGCCCTGCCCTAGGAGGGTGCGGCTTTCTCCTGTTGGCCCTTCCCAGAGGCCTTCCCAGCTACCCATCGAATTCCTCACACTATTTGTTGTACTGCCCCACCCATACTACCTGACCTACAGCCATTGAGTATGTCTTATTTTATGTTCCACAAGAGCAAAAAACCAAGTCCTATGCACTACAAATTTCTTGGAAAAGGAAGATAAATTGCCTGGTATTTTCAGAATAAATGAATTAATCTGTAGAACCTTTGTCCTTGTACTGTTCTAGCAGACATGAAGAATATCATAATTTGGAATGTTAGCAGAGGTATTGGCCTCACCTCTGAGAGGTTTTCTCACCAAGTAACATCCAAAACATGTTTATATGGAGAAAGTGTGATAATACTATAGCTAAAATGTCCCCTCAGCCCCTCCAGAATAAAGACATAAGGATGCTGGTGACCACAAGAGGCCACCTTGAGATGCTGACCCTCCAGCTCTGAGAGCTACCACTGATTTTAGTCAGGGCTCCACTCTTCCTGTCTGAGTCAGCAAAATGCAACCATTTACCAATACACCCCTGGACACAACTGGAGAAAGGGTAAGAAAGCCTAGAAGAGACTGGAACTTTACACATGCCTGTTGGTCACTCCTGTGTGAGGTTCAGGAAGCAACAAAACTGACAGAAGACTGACTTCGAGACATATGGCTGGTCAAGTATGATGGATGATGCACACCTGTAATTCCAGCACTCAAGAGGTTGAGGCAGGATTGCAAGTTCCAGACGAGCCTGAGACAAGACCCTGTCTCAAAAAAAAAAAAAACCAGACACTTGGGTGATGGTCATGACCATCCTGCAAGGGACTATATGGGTCACAACTACTGGCTCTGCTTCCTATAACTTTAGAAGAGATCACATATACAAAGATGTGCTGGGTCCCAGGACTAGGGGACCCAGCACCGTCTTACCCTCTACCTCACCAAGTAGGGCAGAACCACCACTGTCTCAATGCCACGTGCACCCAAAAACTGAGGAGCTCCCCAGAACTCAGGAGCACTAGCCCTGCTTCGCAAGGCCGGGTCCAGTTCTCCTGGTGCACAGCAGCCCTGGTTGCCATACAAAGAGCCATGGTTTATGCCCTTCCACCTTCCCCAGTGGCACTGCTCATCTCCTGACTCCAGCCTTCAGTCTTTTGGGCCCTCTCTTTTGGCTTCCCCAACCCATTACCACAGCCTCTGCCCCAGACCAAAGAGGTTTCTCCAGTCCCAAATCTCCATATACAGCCTGACTCCAGAAAGGAAATGCTCAATTCAGACCTACCCGACTTCAGCAGTCACCTCCAGAGGCCCTGACCCACAGTCCCCCGGCTCAACCTCCCTAGCCAGGCCCTGCAGTGACCCACAGCCCACTCCCCTAGTGGTGACTCTTCCGACCCTGCCTTGCACCCCCACCGGTGACCATCCCCCGCCCTGACCTGACCCACTTCTCCAGCGGTGATTATTCCCGGCCCCGACCTGACCTACGCCCCCGGCGATGACCCTTTCGGCCCTGCCCTGCGCCCCCGGCGATGACCCTTTCGGCCCTGCCTTACGCCCCCCAGCAGTGGCCCTTCCCGGGGCCCTGTTCGGACCCACGCCCCGGTGGTGACACTCCCGGCTGACCATGTCCCCAGCGGCCTGGCGACGCCCCGCGCCCGGCCCGTGCCTCACCCTCGGCCAGGACCCGCCGGACTCTCAGGCGCAGCTCGCCCAGTTCCACCGTCTGACCCACGAAGTCGCTCTGATCGCGGCCGGCAGCTCCACCCAAGGAGCCCGGGCCCGCCAGGAAGTCGAGCGCAGACTGCAGCAGCGACATGGCGGCGACCGCTCGGCGGCAGCGAGAGCCGGGCTCAGGTTAGGGCTCCGGCTCAGGCCGGGCTAGGGCTCAGCTCCGGCTGGTCAGCACCGGCAGGACCACAGCCCCGCCATCTTCCGCTCGCGCCGTGACGTGAGCACGCAAGCACGTTGCGTCGCGACGCCTCGGCCCCGCCCCTGCGCGGCGAGCGGAAGAGCGTGCGCCTCACTTCCGCCGCGCCAGTAGGGCTCGGAGATAGGGAGTCGCGGGTTCGCACTGGACTTCCGGCGGGCAGCTCGCGGGCTGTGGGTGCGGGTGGGAGGCGCGCAGCGGGGGCCGCGGCGACCCCCAGCAGGTCCTCAGCGCCGCTGCTCCCCGCCGTCCCTGCAGTCGTGCCCCTTCCGCGAGGTCCTGCCTCAGTGGCGAGGGGGTCGCGGACGTTGGGCGCGCGCTGCCGACTGCCGTGGAGCCCGGGGCCGCTCGCTTCCAAGGTAAAGCAGGACCTAGGGCCAACCGGAGGGTCCCTAATACCCCGCCATGGGAGGATTTTCTTTAGGGAACGGAGCCAGTGACCCCCAGACACACGTTATAGTGTTCGGGGAGGGTATGAATTAGTCTCTACCATTGAAAATCCAATCCTAGCTACTTGGGAGGCTGAGATAGGGAGGCTCGCATTTTGAGGCCGGTTTGGACGGATAGTTTGCAGAACCCTGTCTCCAAAATAACCAGAACAAAATGGGCTGGAGGTGTGGCTCAAATGGTAGAGCGCCTGCCTAGCAAGCGTGAAGCTCTGAGTTCAAACCCAAGTCCCACCAAAAAAAGAAAAGAAGACCCAGTTTTCCCGGCTGTGTAGAAAAAGTCAGATGTGGCAGTACTGGACTCGGAGTCCCTGTGTTAACAGCCGCCTAGAGCTGCACGGTCTGCTACCAGCCTGTCCGTTACCTGCCCGATGCCCGAAGCCGGTGGGGTTGTGCAGATACGCGTTCTCACGCTCAAGTGGGTCCTCAGCCCGCATCAGCGTCTTAACCCTCCCAGAATTATAAGCTATTAAAAACATTTCCGAGACACACTAACACCTGCTCTCTCAAGAGTCAAGTAGAAAAATGAATGGTTTCATGGGAAGGGTGGAGGAATAAGGAGCTGAGGTAGAGGTGACAGGAGGAGGTAACTCTATTGAGTGTTCTGAGAGGAAAGACTGGAACAGTCCAAAACTGATGGAAAGGAGTCAGCAGAGAGAAGTCTTGTTGGTACAAAGGAGAGTAGTGTCCTTTAGATGGGGTCCATGAACTCATACTGGCATGGCCTAGTACCAAGTGAAGGTTTTTTTAAACTATGTAATTGCTTTGGGAATGAGAGTTGACTCGGCATACACTTCAGTTTTGCAGAACATCTTTATGACGTCGTAATACATCCCATCCTAACACATCTCTCCTGACCTCTTCTACACATAACATGTCTAAAACGGAACCTGTAGTCTCACTTCCCTAGCCTTTTTGTAGTAGACTTCATAGCAAAGAGCATTGCCAGAGAATAAGAGAATTACTTCATAATGACAAAGGCATGAATTCATCGGAAGTATGTAGTAATCTTAAACATTAAATCTTAAACATATTATTATGTGCCTAATAATAAGTTCTAAAATACATGAAGCAAAAACTAATGGAACTGCAACAGAGAAGGCCCAGCTGTAGTTGGAGGTTGATACCTTTCTTGACTAGTGATAGGAAGTACTCAGTATTATGGGTACAGTAGACTTGCACAGTACTGTCAAAGAACTTGAACTGATACACATTTATGTAGAGCAATCCCCACAATAATAGCAGAATAAACAATTTTTTAAAGTGCATAAACAGTGTTTACTAACCTAGATCACATTTGGGATATGAAACAGTTATGTTCTGTCTTCTCTGAATACAATGAATTAAATTAGAAATCAATAAAAAAATAATCCTTTGGATATTTGGAAATTGGATAGCTTAATCTGTGGGCTAAAGAAGAAATCAAAAGGGAAAGTATAAAACATTTTGAACTGAATGAAAATGAAAATACAGCATTTCAAAATTGGGGGTTGCTGTTAGATCACTACTAGAAGATGTAGACCATTGTCCTCAAGTTTTCCTCAAAGAAACAGAAAAATAAGAGAAAATGAAACAGAAAGTATAAGAGGGGAGATAATAAATATCAAAGTACAATTCAATGAAACAAAACAAAAACGAGAGCAAATCAAAGAAACCAAATACAAAGTTGGCTTCGTATTTGAAAACTGACCATTGTAATTTACACTATTAAAAAGTGAAAAAGATCTAGGCACGGTGGCTCACACCTGTAATCCCAGTTACTTGGGGGGTAGAGATCAGGAAGATCACAGTTCAAAGCCAGCATGGGCAAAAACACAAGACCCTATCTGAAAAAATGCAAAAAGGGATTGGAGGTGTGGCTCAAGCAGTAGAGCATAAGCACAAGACCCTGAGTTAAACACAGTGCTGCCAAAAAAAAAAAAATGTTAACTAAGAGTAAAATGAAACATCCTTAACGTGGTCAGGGTAGCTATGAAAAACAGCTGTCATGCAGAGTAATGAAAGACTGGATGTTTTATCCTAAAATTAAGAACAAATCAAGGTTTGTCTCATTACCTGTATTCAGTGTTGTACTAGAAATTGTCAATGTAACGAGTTAAGAAAAAGAAGAGGCATCAATTGAAAGGGAATAGGTAAACTGGGTGCTTTGTGGCTCATGTTTGTAGCTCCTGTAGCTACTCAGGAGGCAGAGATCAGGAGGATTGCAGTTTGAAGCCAGTCCAGACAAAAATTCACGAGACCCTATCTTGAAAATAGCCAACACAAAAAAGGGCTGGCAGAGTGACTCAAGTGGTAGAGTGCCTGCCAAGCAAGTAAGAGTTCAAACTCCAGTGCCACCAAAAAAAGGTGGGGGGCATCTTTTGAGATGATATGGTCATCTGTGTCAGGATTCCTCAGCTTTGGCACTATTGACATTTTGGGCTAGATGTCTAGTAGCTCTCCAACCTTACCCCTACGTACTGCTTGTGACAACATTGCCAAATGATTGCCTCCCCAGAGCAGGAAGAATCACCCTTAATGGAGAACTACTGCTCTGTATAAACAAATCAGAAGAAATCTGCAAAAACAGCTATTGGAACTGGTGAGTTTTATAGGATGCAGGATAAACATGTAGTAGTCAATTCCCTTGGTACACACTAGCAACAAATACTGGTGGTTGAGATTAGGAAAATACACCATTTACAGTAACACCAAAAAGTGAAAAAAAAAAAAAAGATGGTGGAGTGGCTCCATTGAAACCATGAGGCTCTGAGTTCAAGCTTCAGTACTGCCAAAAAAACCAAAATAAAACAAAAGTGGAAAAACGATGACAAAGCATATACATTAAAAACTAAGAAAATATTCTGAGAGAAAAACCTTAATAATTGGAGAGGTGTAACATATTTATGATTGGGAAATCAAATATTGCTAAGACATCAGTTCTCTGATTCATAAATTTAGTGCTATCCAGCGATTTCTTTTACACAGATTTCTTTTACACATTAACACACGGATTCTGAAATTCATGTGGGTCTGTAGAAGAGCTAAAGTAGCCAAAACATGTTTGAACAAGGACAAAATTGTATGACTTAACATTGCCTTACTTCAACAGTTATTATAAAACCACAGTAATCAAAACAGTGTAGTGTTGATGTAAAGATAGCTGAATCCAGAAGTTGACCACAGGTATATGGCCAGCTGATTTCATACAAAGGAGCAGAGGTAATTCATTTGAGAAAATAGTATATTCAACAAATGGTACTAGAAAAATTGGGTATTCATGTTTTTAAAATGAACTTAATCCATACATTGTACCATATACAAAATTAACTCAAAATAGATCATAAATTTAAAACTGTAAATCTTGTAGAAGAAAACCTATGAAATGTTCTTTTTTTAAATTTATTTATTTTTATTCATATGTGCATACAATGTTTGGGTCATTTCTAACCCCTGCCCTCACCCACCCCCTCCCTCTCCCCCCCACCCCCTTGCTACCCGGCAGAAACTATTTTGCCCTTATCTCTAATTTTGTTGTAGAGAGAGTATAAGCAATAATAGGAAGGAACAAGGGTTCCTGGTTGAGATAAGGATAGCTATACAGGGAGTTGACTCACATTGATTTCCTGTGCGTGTGTGTTACCTTCTAGGTTAATTCTTCTTGATCTAACCTTTTCTCTAGTTCCTGGTCCCCTTCTCCTATTGGCCTCAGTTGCTTTTAAGGTATCTGCTTTAGTTTCTCTGCATTGAGGACAACAAATGCTATCTGGTTTTCTAGGTGTCTTACCTATCCTCACCCCTCCCTTGTGTGCTCTCGCTTTTATCATGTGATCAAAGTCCAATCCCCTTGTTGTGTTTGCCCTTGATCTAATGTTTGCATATGAGGGAGAACATACGATTTTTGGTCTTTTGGGCCAGGCTAACCTCACTCAGAATGATGTTCTCCAATTCCATCCATTTACCAGCAAATGATAACACTTCGTTCTTCTTCATGGCTGCATAAAATTCCATTGTGTATAAATACACATTTTCTTAATCCATTCGTCAGTGGTGGGGCATCTTGAAATGTTCTTTAAGATTTTTAAGTATGTGCTTTTTTTCTTTGGCAATATCTGGGTTTGAACTCAGGACCTTGTATTTGTAAGTCAGGCTCCCTACCACTGAGCTACTCCATCAATCCAAGATTTTACAATATACCAAAATATGACCTATGAAAGAAATAGATAAACTCGACTTCATCAAAATTTAAAACTTCGAAATACACTATTAAGCTGGGCACCAGTGGCTCACGCCTATAATCCTAGCTACTCAAGAGACAGAGATCAGGAGAATGGAGGTTCAAAGCCAATACCGGGCAAATAGTTCGTAAGATCCTATCTCGAAAAAGACCTTCACAAAAAAAGGGCTGGTGGAGTGGCTCAAGGTGAAGGCCCTGAGTTCAACCCCCAGTACTGCAAAAAAAAAAAACCCCACTATTAAAAGCAACCAACAAATTCAATAGATGAAGGATAACAAGCTGTGATATGTTCATAAGTGGAACATTACTTAGTAATAACAAGAACCAAGCTATCAAGACACAAAGACTTGGAGAAAACGTAAACTCTGAAAAGGTTACACACTGTATGGTTTCAGCTAGGTGACATTCTGGAAAAGGTAAAACGATATGCTAAGAAGGGGAAAGAGGGCCAGTAGACACAGTAGAGGATTTTTAAGTCTGATAACATAATGGTTATATAACATTTCTCAAAACCCATAGAGTGAATCCCCAATACTGCCAAAAAAAGGTAGGTACAGCACAAAGAGTGAACTCAAATGTCACCTATGGACTCAGTCAATAATGATGTATCATCTGAGTCATTTGTAACAAGTTGGTTATGCTAATGCCACATGTTAATGGGGAAACAAATATGAAGAAACTATAAAGGAACCCTATAATTCCTGTTCAGTTTTTCTGTAAACCTAAGACTGCTTTAAAAATAATCTAGTTTTTAAAAGTACACCGTGGGGAATAAAAAGACAGCACAGACTGGAGAATATATTTGCAAACTGCATATGTAATAAGATTTGTATCTGGAATATATATAAAGAAAGTTCTTCTGGACCCACATAATATTCAGGGTTGGCCCAGTCTCTGGGTGGGGTACGAAAGGCTCTGTGATGTAGTCCCAGCTTCTGCAGGTGGACATCCAGTTTGAGCCAGAGGCCAGAGCACTTTGGTTCCTACCGTGCTTAACACACAAGACACACAGAGGAGTCAGTTCTTCTTGCCTTTCATTCATTCTCATAGCATTATTTGAAGATCACAGGTGACATTAAGTATAAACTACTTCAAACAATGCTTGGTGAATGTCACTGTCATCCTGTCAGAGAAGTGTTTGCAGACCTTGCTCAGTCCATGCAGGAAACCTTGTTTCCCCCCCACCCACCATGGTTGTTTCACTCATCTCTGCCTCTAGGACCTAGCCCAGAAGTGAGCATCTCCAGCCATGTCCTCCAATGTGAATTTCCACCTTCTCTTTATTCGCATTAGCATTTAGAAATCCCAGTTTCTTTTGTCTTTTAGAAACATCCCTCTGGCAGGGGGCATGACTCAAGGAGGGAGATCACCTGTCTAGTAGGTCCAAGGCCCTGAATTCAATCACCAGTAATACACACAATCCCTAACTCCATTTTCAGTCTTGGCTTTTTCCATTCCTTGCCACGTGCCTTTAAAGCATAAGATAAAGGTAATGTGTAACTAGATGTTTTGAACACTTAAGTACTAGGCAGTAGACTGTGTTCTTTTCAACTATGGCAAAGTGCACATTAGATTTACCATTTTAACTATTTTAAGCATGTAATTTAGTGGCATTAAGCATATTCACATTGTGCACCCATCATCTCCATCCATCCACAGAACTCTCCTTGCAAAACTGAAACTCTGTCCCTATTCCAGCCCGTGGCATCCACCATTCTACTTTCTGTTTCTATGTATTGGACTGCTCTAGGGACATTATGAAGTAGAGTCATACAAGACTTATGTTTTGTGACCATGTTTCACTTAGCACAGTGTCCTCAAGGCCTGTCTGTTGTGTCATGTGTCAGAGCAGAATAATGTACTGTGTGTATATATGCACTGCATGTGATTTCTGCACTCACCTAATGCATTGAGAAGTGCTTGAGTTGCTTCCTCTTGGTTGGTCTGAACTTTATCCCGTTGATCTGTATTTGTGTGCCAGTACACAAGTGTCTTTCTATCCATGAAAGATGGTGCTGACGGGGATATGCCTGCGTGGTGAAAGTACAACACAGCAGTGAAAGGAAGTGGGTTGCTGATATTCCTAGCAACTTGATGAGTCTCAGATGGAAGAAGTTGACTTAAAAGATTCCACAAAGCATGCCTCCATATGCAAGACATTCTGGAAAAGGCAAAGTGGCAGCCTCAGCAGTTGCCAGGGTTTGCAGGAAAGTTTAGGAGGGCCAACTGGTCCTCCTAATTGTGTCTGTGGTCACACACCTGTGTGCATTCCTCAGCAACTAGAACTGCCCACTAGTTGTTTGCTCATAAACTGTAAACAGCGTTAAATGAGAAGAAAATCAGAGATATAACTAAAACTGGTGTTTCCATCCATGGCCACTGATAACTGAAGGACTTGCACTATAGGCACCACAGGGTGTCCTGAAGCTGGCAAATCTATTCAGGTTCACATTTTTGTCTACTGCACATGTTTTTGTCATCATAAAGGAAGGTGGCAGAGCCCTGTCTGTACCTTTGTGCAACTGATGTTTCTCCTCTCAGCATTATATTTTTATTTTATCCCTGTAGCTCCATGTTTACTTCCTCACAGCATTTAATGGCTTAATAATTAATAGTTGTGGGCTGGCTCAGTGGTAGAGCACCTGCAGTAAGTGTGAGGTCCTGAGTTCAAACCTCAGTACTGCCCCCTAAAAAAAAACCTTTCTAATAATTAGTTGTGTTTTTTACTTTTATTGTTAAACCTTGCTTGGTACAGAGTCAGCTGTCTCCCTTCATACAGAACTGCTACCCTGTGAGTGTTCTTTTTGCAACTCTAGAGATCCTGCTAATTGTCATGTGTGGCTCCATTGTGTCCTGACATGCCAAGTGTCCTCCCCACATTCTGGCCAGCTCTTTTGACTGAGAACTTTTGCCATTCTTGTGCCTCATTGCTTTTGTTTGTGTTTCTCTGATTATTTTAAAGTTGGATACCTTTTTCTTTCTTTTTCTTTTTTTTTTTTTTTTGGTAAGCCTCTTTTATATCTTTGTTTTGCATGTCTTGTCTCGGTGAGGGCTAGTGTTCGGTTTCCTTTGTAGGGCAGCATACTGCATTGCAATTATGGAGGCAAGAATTTTGACTGCCATCCATGATGCTCCAACCAGGTCACCAACATCCTTTTCAAAGTAAACCCAGGCACACTTCATGTTAACCTTGCTTCAAAGATGAAGAGCTTGGGCTGTGGTCACCCTTCGTGAAGCGGCCTTCCCTGTCCTCCCAGGGAGCACCATCACCCTCTGCTCCTGACTGTCCACCTAGCAGCCTCATCTTCCATAATAGTGTGCACCATTGACTCCACAGTCTCCATCTTCAATGTGGCCTCCTTCCTCATCTGTGCCCCCATGGCATAGTTTGCAGGTGTCTTTCCTGTGTCTCAGGAAATTTGCCATGGCAAAGCCTTCATATTCTGGGAACAAACTCCTCCACACGTAGATGACCTGGTTGGCTCGCCCTCCTCCATCCCCAACAACAACCACCTTCATACTCTCAGGAGCTGCTTCTCAAGCACCCTCTGTCCCTTGCTGTGCCAACCTGCTCCACCTCTCCGTGGTTACAGCCTCAGCTTCCTAACTGGCATTCTTGCCAAATTTCTGTCCCCTCTCCCCTGGCTGCAGGCAGGAGCTGTAACAGTTTCCAGTGGCCCTTCTGCCCATGTCCTGCAACTGCTGAAAAATTCCTAGTGCTCCCACTGCTGGGTTCTGTGTGGAACCTAAGGTGCTCTGGAGCGCCCACCAGCCACTCAGGCTGGACTTAATCTCTTTGCTCCTAGGTCATGAGTGTTTCCTGTCCAGAGCACCTTTCCAGGTGACATCTTAGACCTATTCCTGAAGCTAAAAATGTTCAGGGGGCTCTGAGCCAAGGTAGCCATGGCCATGGGGAGCATTTTCTAGGTATGCACCCTGACGGTAGATGAGCTATGAACACAAGCCCAAAGCTACCACACTGGCTTTTCTTGTTTGGGACAAAAGCAGCTCGTATAGCAGAGCTAGCCATTGGGGTCAGATTTCTTTCCCTTCCGTAGTAACATGGTGTGCTGAGCACCTTGTGTCATTAGTGCCTTCCCTCATCACTTGCTCCTCTGGGACAAAATGAGATACAGAGAGTGTCTCTTTCCCTGATTACAGAGCTCAGTGTTGGGGTCTGATGTTGATGCTCATGCTGTTAGCCTGAAGGCTGGAAATTTGGAGGGGTCACCTGGGGAATTGACCCTCTCTGTTTAACATATCCACCCATCTATTGTGGCTGAAGCCCATAGGGTGCAGCCCATAGGTGCACCCCATGGCATGCTCAAAGCTTTACTTCTTTACATCCTCCAGTGACCACCAAGCAGCCCCACCATGTCCAGGTCCCAGATCCCGGAGCAGACACTGGATGCCCAGGGAGACTCACCCCTGCACAGGAGGGACGAGAACACCAGAGATGGTATCCAGAGCTCCCACCGCATGCTGGGCTTCAGTGATGCACTGCTGTCTATCATCGCCACTGTCATGGTCAGTGTGGGCCCATCTCAGACCCATCTAGATCTCTGGGGCATCCTTTGGTCCCCTAGTGCCTCAGGGACCTCAAGACCTCTGTCTCCAAGGGTGCCCACCACAAGAAATGTCTCTTGGATCCTTTTGTCTTTGTTCCTTTAGATCCTGCCTGTGACCCACACGGAGATCTCCCCAGAACAGGTAATGGAAATAGGCTGTTCTTTGTTCATTGGGCCTGTAAGAAGACTAGACCTGGGCTGGGAGAGCTGGCCCCACACCTTTCAGACATCAGAGGCGGATTGCTCATGGAGAGTGCAGGATAGGGTACCTGTGCTTCCTCCTGATAGGGTCCCTGCCTTGTGCAGCCGTGGTTGATGGACAGAGCAGCGTCCTGTCCCTCAGGCAGAGGCTCTGACTGAAGAGAGTGTAGACTGCTTCAGCTGAGACACATTTACCCTGAACCTGTGCTATGCCATCCTGGAGATGAATGGAAAGGATTTAAAAGTGTTTCCACTTATAGCCGACTTTATGAGAATATTCCTAAGTTAGAGATTGACATGTGGCTCCTTAGAAGCAGAACGACTTCAGAAGACCTGACTGGATGTCTCTCTGGGTCTCCTGTGTGACTGTCAAGTCACCAGGCCAATCTCGGGTGCTGTGAGGCCCAGAGGGGGTTAAAATGAGACCCTGCCCTATGAAGAGCTGGTTGCTCAGCTCTGGAGGTCCCAGAGCCGCTGAGATTCGGCTTTTTCATTGTAAAAAGGGTTGCAATGAGAATTAAGTGGAAATGTGGCTCAGGGAGACCTAAGCATCAGACTGGTGGAAAGTGCCTCTGGCTGCTACTCAGGAGTTAGGCCCACCTGGGCTGGCAGTGGCTCAGAGCCTTCTCTGAGAAGTTCATGGGGTTTGGGTCAGCTTGTCTCAGGTGCTTGCCTCACCACAAACTCCAAATAGAGTTGGCGGTGTGAAGGGCTCAGACAGACTCTTCTGAAATGCCAGGGCAGCTCTACCAGCAGAGTAAACTGCTGCCTGTTAAGGAAACAGGGCCCTCAGGGCTAGACCACTCACTCTTCCATGTCAGTTTCATCTTTTGGAGACTGACTTCTTGGGGCTGAGTCTCTGTGTCCTGACTGGTTCTTAATGTCCCTGAGAGTTTGTGGGACTCATGCAGAGAGAACACTCAGGGAAGCAGGAGGGCTCTGCACCTCCTGCACAGGTGCTGGGGCAGCAGCTGCCTCCCAGGGCATAGGGCCTGAAGGACTTCACAGCAGTGCTCACTCTGCCTGTCAGGGAAAAAGCAGTGAACTTTGAACACAGTGATGCACAAAGAATGGTGGTTCTCAGGAGGTATAACTTTGTTCTAATGGCAGTGCTCTCTTATTCTAGCAATTTGACAAAAGTATACAGAAACTTCTAGCAACCAGAATCGCTGTCTACCTGATGACATTTTTAATCGTAACTGTGGCCTGGGCAGCACATACCAGGTAGGGGGCCGGGCTTTTCCAAAGCAAGATTCTCATTACAACATGCTCAGGGCCAGCACTGGACGCAGTGGGTGGCCACAGTACCTCAGAGATGCACTGTTCTTAAGGCGTCTGTGGGCCCCTCCCTTCATCATATGCTGTGTTTCAAGGAGACTGGGTTATTAGGCCCACCCCTTCCTGTCCTCCCCAGTTCTTGCTCTGAACCTCATGCTTTAGGACAGTGGAGGGTGGACGCTTGCTTGTTCCAAGGCAAGGTCCATCTCGAGCCACATAGCACTTCCTGCTATACTTTCTGTCTTATGTGGGACAGCCAAGTGCCCACCTGCTAGAACCACCTCATGACCAAGATAGAGGGCTGGGATGTAGCTCAGTGGTACAGCACTTGCCTAGCATGCGTGAGGCCCTGGGTTCGCCAGCACCAAAAAAGAAAAGACAAAAAAAAAAAAAAAAAAAAGACCAAGGCAGAACAGGACAAATAGAGGGCAAGCCTTATTGGCATGGCTATGTTTCGTTAAGTGCCAGCCAAGCACAACCCCCTCCAGTGTAGAGATTAAGCCTGCAAGATGCACTCTGGGGCCTGAGCTTTGTCCTGGGGGAAAAAAAGACTCAGGAGCCTCAAACAGGCACAGACAGGAGGCATCCAGGTGTGGATGCTAGCATCCCTGGTTGTAGCTCAGCCTATTGAAAGGGAATACTGGGGTACAGAAAAATCCATGGATCCTGTTAAGCTTCACACCTGTGCTAAAAGTGCTACAGAGTGTTCCCATCACATACGTGTTCTCAGCAAGGTGACTTTGTTTCTGGTGGTTACAGATGGTCCTCCAGTCTCAGGAAAGCTTTTGTCTTCAGCCTTGTTCATAGAGTGCTTACAAGGGGCAGGGGGAGGTGTGCAGACAGGCTGATGGGAGCTGGGTGGACTAAAGATCTGCTAGTCTTCCCTGGACCAGCATCATGGTTCACTTACCAGAGGGCCACATCAGCAGAGGGGTCAAGGGCCCAGGGAGCCTATGAGTGGCTTCACAAGTCTGCTCTGCACATTCTGCCTGGAGTGCTTGCCAGCATACATGGCCCCAATGCAAACAGGTTGCCAGGAGAGCTGCCATCTTCAGGCCATGGCCCCTTCTGTTTGAATTGGCCTGTGTCCCAGCACCTTGGGCTCCACCCATGTTGGCTAGGCAAAGCTCAGCCAAAGGCTATCTTCAGAGTGGACAAGCAGCACCCTGAGCCAGGGTTGAGCCCTGTTGTGGAAACCCTGAAGCAGGGCCGGGTGGGGCAGGGGCTTCAGGAGCCTTGGAGGGCTGTGCTCACATTTCCCCTAATGGATGCTCCATTTTTAGTTTTCTGTTTATGTTTGACTCCCTCCATGTGAAGCCATCTCTCTGCTAAATAATCAGTTTCAAAAGAATTAGTGTATGAAATAAAACACAATGGGAAAAGAACCTCCTTTCTTCAAAGTGTATTTTTGGATACATAGCCTGAAGAAGCAAATACCCTGTGTGATGGAGCCTGTAGCTCCACACACCCAGAAGGCATTTCCCCAAGCATGGGAGCCACATTTGAATGATGGTCTGTCTTTGTTTTGCTTAACTTTAGACTGTTCCAGGTTGTTGGGAAAATAGATGATACACTTGCCTTGCTTAACCTGGTGAGTTTTCCTTTTGGGAAATTATTTTAGTTGTAATTTAACCATTTCAGGAGGAGGGAGAGGGTGTGTTTAACTGGTGCTGGCTGCTTAGAGCCTGAAATCTTTCAACACCTAGAAGCTTCTCAGCTGCTGCCAGAGGTGGGGAGTGGGGGGTGGCCCCTGGTGCCTATCTCTCCTAGACAGGAGAACAGGTTTCTGCAAGGTCAGGGTTTGGACTCTGACTCTCTCCAGCCTACCCCCACCTTGGGGAGGTGCCTGACTAGCCCCCCTCTGGGGTGGCAGGGTCCTGGGACATCTTGTTACCCTTCTGGAGTGCCTCTCCCTTTTCTCCAGGCTGTATGATGACTGTGACCTCCCTCCCCTCCAGGCCTGCATGATGACCATCACTTTTCTGCCATACACAGTGAGTAATGGTCATCTCCTTCCTCACCCCCATGACTGACTGAGCACCTCCCTTTGTGGCTGTTCTCAGAAACACTTTAGAGCCTGGGCCACAGGCTACAGAGCAGAAAAGGTTCCAGGAAGCCAGAGGTTGGGAGCTGCCTGGAGCTCTCAGGTAGAAGTTGGGGGCTGCTGAATGACAGATGGAGCTTAAGGCTGCTGGGCGCTGAGGCAGCTGAGGAGAGGGCTACTGACACCTTCCATTGCCCCCTACCACCACACCCCCTCTGCCACATAAACCCTCAGCTCTGATGTGGGCCATTGGCCCAAGCACACAAGGATTTATGTCTGAGAATTCAGTCTGAGGATTTTGTATGAATTTGACAACACTGACTTTAAAGGCCTAAAGCAATGAATAGAATTGCTGAGGGGGAGGGGCCTGTGAACAGACCTGTCTCCCCCAGCCTGCTGCCTCCACCCTGTGACAGTCCCTTTCCTAGTGCCCAGCATGGAGACGAGGAGGCTCACTATACTCCAGCTCAGGACCTAGGAGTTCTGATAACCTTTTGGAGTTTTTTTGTTGTTGTTTTTGGGTTTTTTTTTGACAGTTTTCTTTAATGGTGACTTTTCCCGATGTGCCCTTGGGCATCTTCCTGTTCTGTGTGTGTGTGATCGCCATTGGAGCTGTACAGGTAGGACAGGGGACCTGTGGGGGGAGGGTCACCATAGGGCATGCAGATGGGGTGCCTGTGTCCCGGCCCTCACATCCTGCTTATGAACACACATGGGATTTGGCACACCCAGACCCTGCCCCTTGCTAACACAGACTGAAGATCTTCACGTGGCCTCAGGAATGGGGTGGACTCCCACCCCCTTCACCCTAGCCTCTACTCCCAGAGCATCCCAGGATGTCAGCCGACTTCTGGAGCCCCTTACCCCCAAGCCCCTGCAAGTATGTGTGTGCCTAGAAGCCCAAGGGTTAACTGGCTATGGTACTCCTGCTCCCTCTCCTACAGGCACTGATTGTGGGGTATGCCTTCCACTTCCCACACCTGCTGAACCCACAAATCCGGTGCTCTGCACACAGGGCCCTGTCCCAGAAGCATGTCCTGCGCCTTGTCCTCCGTGGCCCAGCACTGTGCTTTGCCGCGGCCATCTTCTCTCTCTTCTTCTTTCCCATGGTGAGTATAAGGACACCCCTAGGGATGGCTTAGTCCAGTTGCAAAAATCAAGGTCTGTTATATTAAACAGGAACAAGAGTCCTGGTCTAGTTATAAACAAAAGTGGATGCTAAAACAACTGCTTCAGGTTTGGTTATAGAAGCTGACTTGTGGAGGGTCAACTTGAATGCTATTGAAGTACATTGAATGTCTAAAACAAAGCATCCTAAAAATAGTGAAAACAATGAGTGGATGTTATTGTAAATGTTTGGTGAGCATTTCAAGAGCATTCCAGGCTTTATGAGGGCTTATGGCCACTGCAAAGGTCATTTCTAAAGGCAAGGGAAGGCTGTCCCTTCCCACCTGAGGGATGCAAGGGGGCTGAGCAGGGTGGGCTGCAGAATGCCCAGAGCATCAACACTTAGGCTGGCGGCAGAGCAGAGGAACTGTCAGGGAAGCATCCAGCCAAGCAGGCCTTGGTCATGGAGGCCTCAGATGAAGAGGGAAAGAAGGAAAGTGAATATCCCAGTGTGAGACTATGGGCCTGTGGCCAGCTGTGTAGCCTGGTTCTTCAGAGACTTCATTTAATGCTCATGAGACAGGAGGAAAGAAGCTGAGGAGCAATGCTGCAGGCCAAGGGCTAGTACCACCTTAAGGTGAGTAGGCTCTGGCTCTCATGGTAGAAGACACGAGGGGTCAGGTCAGGCATCCTTGGGTGTGACCTATCTTGAGATAAAGCAGGGATGGGGTGGGCATGGGCATTGTGGGTGCTCCAAGTGAAGGCAGGTGGGGGAGGTTGGGAAAATGCCTGGACAGGCAGATGGGCAGCAAGGAGGACAAGTCAAAGGGCAGCAGTCTGAGGCCAAGTCCTGGCTTTAGAAGTGGGATAGTTCTAGGGTTGTGCCCAGGTGGTTCATGGGGCAGGAATAGTAACAAGGTCAGTGATGGAGCAAGGCAGGCAGGCAAGGGCCTGGGTGCAGAGGCCATCAGCTGGCAGTCTGCACACAGGACCTGAAGAACCATGAAGGGTGGGTGGGGCAGGTGGCCAGCAAGAGAGGCTGTGGAATGCTTTCAGAGTTCATCTGTATTGTAGTATTGATTAAAATTTCATTCTTCTTTATTGCTTAGTGATAGGCCAGTGAGCAGGTTCACTCCTTAGGTGACACTGGACTTTTCCCACCATTTCACTGTTGTGAATAGTACAGCTGTGAACATGGGTACACAAGTGTCTCTTCAAATCTCTACTTTCGGTTCTTTTGTGTATACCCAGAAGTGGAGCTGCTATATCATGTGGTCATTCTGCTTTTAAGTTTTTGAGGAACCCCTCAGTGTTTCCATGCTGCTCCACTATTTACATTCCCACCTGCAATGCTCAAGCTTTCACTTTCCCCACATCACCTGTCATTTTGTCTTCGCCACTAGCCATCCTGAGGGGTGGAAGATGCTGGTTCATTGTGGCTGTCTGGTTTGCGTTTCCCTGATGAGCGTGATGATAGGTATCTTTGGATGATGTGTTGGGCATTTGTATATCTTCTTTGCAGAAATGTCTTTTCAAATCCTTTCTTTTTAGCTGAGGTGTTTGTATTTTGTTGTTGAATTGTGACACTTCTTTATGCATTCTGGATACTAAACTTTTTCCAGGCATGTGACCAGTAAGCATTTTCTCGCATCTGTGCTATCTTTTCACTAGGAACATACCCTTAATACACTTATTTCAAGAAAGGACAGTTCCCTGAAGCTGGGCTTGGTGCTTCACGCCTATAATCCCAGCTACTTGGGAGGCAGAGGCAGGAGGATCTAGAGTCCAAGGCTAGCCCAGGCAAAGCAAGCAGTGAGACCCTGTCTCAAAACCAAAAAAAAGGTCCAGAAGGGCTGAGGGTATAGTTCAAGTGACAGAGTGCTTGCCTGGCATGCACAAGGTCCTGGATTCAATCCTCAGCACTCAAAAAAAAAAAGACAGCCCTTTGTCCTTTTGTCACTCCTGCTGCCCTCCCTTTGGAGCAGAGGGTGGAATTCCTGGCTGACTGGGCTCCAGGTGGTGAGCAGCCCCACCCCAGAGAAGCAGACCCTTAACTTGTCATGTCTTCTTGCAGTCATACTTTCTGATGGTGACCATCATCTTCCTCCCTCACATCAGCAAGGCCATCAGCTGGTGCAAAAACAGGCTCATGGGTAGGTAACCACACATAGCTCTGCACTGAGGCTGCTGGAAGGCATCACCAGGTCTTGGGGCCACTCCCCAGGACGATTGGGTAGAGCAAGGCATGAGCTTGTGGTAGCTCAGGGCCTGTCCTGCTGGGCCAAGCCTGGCCTGTCTGGGCTTATTGGGTTCTGGCTGTATCCTACCCCTCAGCACTTACACTGTTTTGTCTTTCGGCCTTACATTCCTGGCTCCTTGGGAAGTAGGCAGTAATGGCCACACAGGCCCCACAGCCCCTAAACTGGGCTACCTCCTCTTTCCTGGCGTGTCCACAGGCCTCAGGGAGCCTCCAGCACACAGTGTGGAGCCCTTCAGTTTCGACCTGCATGCACCCCTCAGCAAGGAGCGGGTGGAAGCCTTCAGTGATGGAGTCTACGCCATTGTGGCCACACTCCTCATCTTGGACATCTGGTGAGGACCCCAACTAGGATACCCCAACCCATCCACCAGGTGGCAGTCTCTTTGAGTCATGGTAACTTGTCCTGAAAACTTCAGAAAGGCATTGCTCAGTGCCAGCCTTCCCTTGGGTGCTCATAGTTTTATGCAAGGAGGGGGTAGCCCCACTTCAAGAAGGGAATAGTTTCCAGGAGCGGAGTCTTCCATCCCAGCAGCTCCCGGGCTGGAGCACCAGGGAGAGGCATTTCTCCAGTGCTGCCTCATGCTCCCAGTCCTGGGAGCTGTGTTCAGAAGGCACAGGCCTTAGGCCTCTCCTGTTCGGGCCAGCTCCTACTTCCACTGCTGGCTCTTCTGCTTGGCCTGACTTGCCACTGAAAGCCTGTTGGAGCTCTATCCTAGCACTTACTTTTATTTCTAAGTGTTCTGCTTTCTAAGCCTCTCGTTCTTCCTAGCTTCTGGTTCCCTAGTTACATTCCAGTGCACTCATTTCATTAAATGTGTAATAGTGCTCTCATTTTATATTCTGTATTTGACAGCCTGCTTTTCCTGATAATCTCTGGATGTCTTTTTCCTCCTGTTACTTACAAATTTTTAAAAATTGGAAGCAAACTTTGATAGGTACCCAATTCCTGAGGCCTAGACTTAAGGAACATTTCAGAATGATCTGCCTTTGCTTTCGCCCTACAGCCAGAACCTGGCTGGTCAAGTCCCCAGGCTGAAAGACCAGCAGCCAAGGGCAGACCACCCTCCATCAGGTCTTCTGCCTCTTCTGAGAGGCTGTCTAGGGTCTTGCCTCATGTAACCCCTCCCCCCCACAACGGCTTTCTCTCCTGCCTGCACCTCTTCCCCCTGCCCATTGTTTTAGAGGACACAGGTCTCTCTTTGATTCAGTGCCCTACCCTCCATGCCCAGTTGATGGGATGTCATTCCTGGGCTATGCTGCAAGAGGGCACAGAGGTTCCCATAGCCTCTACCACAGTCAGCAAGACACTCCCGGCTGCTGACTCAGGGCAGTGGCAGGGATCCCACCCACTCCTCCAGCCTGTGGGCCCTGGAGAGGTGGTACAAACGCCATCTGTTCACACTTCCCAGTGAGGACAACGTTCCAGACCCCAAGGATGTGCAAGAGAAGTTCCGAGGCAGCCTTGTGGCTGCCCTGGGTGCTTATGGGCCACACTTCCTGGCATACTTCGGCTCTTTTGCTACAGTGGGTCTGCTCTGGTTTGCCCACCACTCACTCTTCCTGCATGTCCGCAAGGCTACCCAGGCCATGGGACTGCTGAATACACTCTCACTGGCCTTTGTGGGCGGCCTCCCCCTGGCCTACCAGCAGACCTCAGCCTTCGCCCAGCAGCCCCACGACGAGCTTGAGCGCGTACGCGTTAGCTGCGCCATCATCTTCTTTGCCAGCATTTTCCAGTTTGCCATCTGGACAGCGGCCCTGCTACAACAGGCAGAAACACTACAACCAGCAGTGCGGTTCGGCGGGCAGGAGCATGCCTTTATGTTCGCCAAACTCACACTGTATCCCTGTGCAAGCCTGCTGGCCTTCTCTGCCACCTGCCTGTTGAGCAGGTTCAGCACCGCCATCTTCCACCTCATGCAGATAGCAGTGCCTTTTGCCTTCTTGCTGCTGCGTCTCCTCGTGCGCCTTGCCTTGGCCGCCCTGCGGGTCCTGCAAGGTCTCCGGCCAGCACACCCCCAACCAGGCCAGGCAGAGGCTGAGGCACAGTCCCAACTCCTGCCTGCTCCCTGCTAGTGCCAAGGAGGCCACCCACCCATCCCAATGAGGCCACTGGAAGGAAGGGGTCCCAAGGGTGGGCCAATGGGTTCACTGTGGCCCTGGGACTATTTTACCTGCCTGGGTATTTCCTTTGTGAAATATCAAGGTCTATTTCAGACTACAAAAATTGTTCTGTTTTTTACAATAAGGAATTTGAGGGAACTTGTTTTATTGCTTTGTCTACTTTCCTCTTCAACCCAGATACAAGTGATTACCACTCTACCTAAGTCAGCCACTTGGGGCTGACATGTGGATGGTGTTTGAGGCAGTGGGGCCCAGCCAGATCCCAGAGTCCCCTCCCTTCTCCCTGCTCCAGTTCTGTGTGTGGCCATGAAGATGCCACCTCCCTGCATGGAACCCTGAGGTAGTTGATCCTCCCTGAGACTCGGCTGGTTAGGCAGGGAGGCCACTGTTTGAGGGGCTGCCTGCCCCTATCCAACCACCTCCCCACGTGCAGAAACACCTGGCAGGGCTGCCAGTCCGTCTGCCCTCTCCTTACACATTGGTTGCCGGACAAAGACAGAGGCAGGCAGCTGCAGAACAGTGAAGCCCAGACTGTATTTGTCCCAGATAAAAGTTAGGTCACATTCAGGTAGTGATAAGTTATACACAGAGGACCAGTGTACAGGGACGTACTGCACATGAGGACAGTCTCACTTAAATACAGAGGACAAGCCACATTGGCCACAATCGACAATTCCTGCAGATTGAAATCAAAGTAAAAACTGTACCACTAAGGATTTGTTTTGTAGATTACAAATAACGTAAACATGAGGAATGTCTACACTGAGACCACAGATAAGATGCATTTGTGCAGTTTTGGCAGAAGCAGAGGAGGGGTGGTACTTAGTGGCACGGCAGCCCGGGAGGCTACAGACCAGGCAGGACACACCCTGGGGTATGGCACAGCCACTTCTGAGGGTAGTGCAAGCCCAGCACCAGCAAACGGGGAAAGATCTGGACTTGTGTTCCTTTCTTTGGGGTGGAATCTTGGCACTTCCCACATAGGCTGCTCATTTTTGGTCATTCCAAGGGCTTGAGGTGTGACAGCGAATTCTTGAGCACATGGAGTAAACATCATCTCTAACTGGGCTGTCTGGGTGGGCACAGTGCCCCTTGTAGGGCCCGCTGGCAGAGCTAGGCAGGAGGCTCTACACCAACATGGAAAAAATGCAGGGCACTGGCTGGCAAGCAGCATGTGTGCAAAGGTACAAAGTGCTAGTCACAGTCTGAAGACACTAAAGCCACTCATCCACACTGGCAGGTGTTGAGTTATTTACACTTTCGCCAACCTATCACCACCCAGTCCTGCCGCTGGTCCCCTCACAGGGGCTAAATGGGGGACTCCAGCTGCTTCGTGGGTAAACCAAAGCCCACCTGGCCTCAGGGTGGACAAAGGTTCCCCTCTCCCCCAGGTGTGGCTTGTCACCTCAGGGCCACCAACACAGAGCCTAGGGAAAGACAGCCAGCACTGCCCACCCGTGGACCAAGCTGCCATCTGTAGTGAAGGCCAAGAAATAAGGGAGGTCACCACAGCCTGCCAGGGGCTGGCCACACCTCCTACTGGGTAAAGACAACCTGGCAGCATTCTGTATCTGCTGGGCTAGGGATACACCCGGGGCCCCAACAGGGCCAGCTGCTCTGAAGGGGCATTCAGATTGGACTGGGGGACACAAAACGATGCCAGATGGCCTGCATCCAATGCTGCTAGGCTCAAGGGACTCCGAGGAGGAAAGGGCAGAAGGGGAGGGGTCCCAGGAGTGGTCTGGGCTGAACTTCCCATGACTGACAAAGTATGGGGTCAGTTCTACTACTCACCATGTGAGGCCCAGCCTGAGGAGCCTCACAGGGCCTGAGAGGGCAGGCTAGCCAGAGTCCTACGCCCACCTTTCACACAGACTGGTACTGATGCTGAGGGAGAAATGGTCACCACCTGCCCAGTCCTTTCCATATGACACTGGATGAAGGCAAGGGGTGGGGAACATCCCAGGCCCCAGAAGATGCTATGATTAGGGCCACAGTCAAGTCCACCTGCTGGCCAGCCAGTGTGCAGACTCAGAAAAGGACTGAAGATGAGAAACGGGGGACAGGCACAGACCCCTCTCAACATCTCAACCCCTCTACTTAGGGTCACCCTCAGGAGAAGGCAAGGTGTCTACTCGGGCATCCCTGATAGCTCCGACCTTCCTGGGCTTCTGCTTGGCTTTCTTCAGCATGTGGACCTGTGCCAAGGCAGAGAGTGGGAGCTCAGAGGGGCGAATGTGGGTCACAGCCCCTGGGACTCCAGGATGACTAATGCCCTCTTGGCTGTACCTTACACAGAAAGGGAAGGGCCTGGCAAAGTTGTCTGACCAGTGTGGCCTGCAGCCCTCTAAGGTCTGCCTTCAGTCCTCGCCCCAAGGCCCAGGGGCTTGCCTCCCCTGAAAGACGACACCCTCTAAGAGGTGGCTGCCCTCACCGGGGCCCCATGTTCTTCAAGGACACAGGGAAGGCCCAGGCTCACCTGGCCACCTTGGCCACTCCAACCTGCCCAGCCCTGGCCCACTTCATCTTGGTTCTCAGCTATACCCAATATACCTTAGGACCAGCTGCGGAGATGATCATGTGCCCTGGAGCCTGAACCCAGGGCTCCCCATCCACCTGCACAGGAGTGGCCTTGAGGAGTGTGACTCGGAAGTAGGAACCCTGGGCAATGCGGATTCCAGAGCGCAGCCCGCCCTGTACCTGCCCCTAGGCAGGGGGAAAGATGAGTTTAGTAGGACCCATGAGACACCACAAGGGCACACCTACCAGCCCACCGGTGCTCACCATATGGACAACACCTGTCACGCCCACCACCTCCAACAATCCATCATCCATGCGTGGCTTCTCAAACTTTGCATCGCTGTCAGAGCCCCACAGGTCAGCCCCCGAGCCCCAGCTGGCCCAAGAGGATGAAGAGGCGCACACAGGTTAGGCACAGGCTGGACACAGGCCCAGGGCTTGGCCTGAGGCCACAGAGCCCGCAAGAGCCCAGCCCCACACCTGGGGATGTTGATAAAGATGAGGCCCTCAATGCTGGGCAGCTCCACCTCCTGCTGCTCCACCTGCAGCCGGATCTCCTTGTGCAGGCTGCGGGAGTGACTGATCTTCTGCAGTCCGACCCGCACGTACACACCTTTGTTGTGGAACCTGCCGGAGGGAGTGCACCCACCATCACCAGGTGGTGGCTGCTGCCTTGCAGAGAGGGGTTACCACCACCACCACCCCTACCCTGCCCTTCCAGTACCTGCTTGTGAACTTGCCAGGCTCCTCCTCCCGTGCCTGGTGGAAGTCCAGGCTGAGTTCAGCATCAATGCCAATACCACAGTAGTTACTCATCTGCACGATCTGGGGACAAGGGTGTCACCAGGATGCTGGTTGGCCCCCAGGCACTCCTGAGTGCCCCCAACTCTACTCTGCTATTGCCACAGCTGCCCTTTCTGGGGCTGCCCTGCCACAGTGCTCAGAGAAAACAGCACACAGCACAGCACAGCAGGTTCTGGAGCCAGGCCCAGCCACTGTTCTGCACCTTGAAGCCTCATCTGTGGAGATGGTGCCAGCAGCCTCAGGTGTGGCTGGAAGGAGGGGAGCATTTTAGCAAACAGGGAAGTCACATTCAAGAGCCTAGTGGGAGCCATACTGGTACCTTGGGGGGCTCTGCTTCCACCACACTGTTCTCTGCACTACCAGTCTCCTGAGCATCCAGCAGGATGGTCCAGCGGTCCATAAGCACAGCATCAGCCTCATCCACAGACACCAGCACAGAGAATGGGTCCTCACCACTGTAGCCAGCACCCCAGCGGAGAACCCGGCCAAGGTCATTCCCTAGGACACAGGTGAAATAAAGTGACTCTCATACGACCATGGAATGGAGAACCCATGAGACCTGGGGCAGCGAGAGGTCCGGGACCCTTGTCCTCCAAGTGGCTAAGCTCACCTGTGCCCAGGGGCAGGATGGCCACAGATGGCTCTGGGCAGGCCAGACGGTGCCGCATCTCCTCCAGGGTGGCAAGCACCCAGCCCACAGTGCCATCCCCACCACACACCAACACCCGGAAGCAGGGCACCTGGGAGAATAGGTGGAACCTGCACGGAAGACAGAAAGTGTCCCACCACCATCATGGGCACAGCACAGGCAGAAGAGTGGCTGCCCAGGACCCCACAGTAGGGTTGGGCCAGCTCATCCCTGCCCCAGGCAGCCCTTTCCTTTTTAGCTGTCCATCTCCAGCCACATAGAGTCCAGCAGAGTACCAACTGGAGTTCCCACTGGTGAGACAGGTCTAGGGGTACCCTTCCCACATGCTGGGCAGACCCCAGACTCACCCAGGAAGAGGACCCCCGTTGGTCAGCTCAAAGACCTGGTGTGGGTTCAGCAACTTCCGGAAACTGCAGAGCAGGTCTCGGCCCTTGAGGCCCCCACTCTTGGGATTCACAAACACGAGGAGGGGGCAGCAGTCGGGGGACAGTTTCAGGTGCTAAGGGTGGGGGGCTGAATTAGGGTGGGGCCATGGTCGCCCCTGAGGCTGCTAAGCAGTGTCCAGCACTAGACCCTGAGCAGGCCAGGCCCTCGTGGGGAAGGCAGGACTACGCTGTCACACAGAGGCCCAGTTAAGCCACACGCTTATCCCCGCTTTACTACTGCCCTCTCAGGATACCCCTTTCCATGAAAGGGTCACCCACAGGCTGTTTGCTGGCTGCTAGGTGTGGGCTAGCTGGCTGCTGGGAGCTCTAAGTACAAATGCCAAGGCAGTACCCACTGTGACGTGCATCAAGAGAGCCCCCCACCCCCACCTGGCCATCACAGTCCCAGATTGGAAGTTCACAGGACCCTGCCTGGCACTGCCAGCCAACTGGACTGAGTGAGGCCTGGCCCTGCACACCCTTTGGAGGCCAGTGGTTCCCAGAGCCCCACCTGCCACATGGCAACCAAGAGGTTGTGGTTCACAGGGAAGTCATGTTTCCCCTCGGCCCTGGGACAAAATCCATCTCCCCTCATGTAACCCCAAGAGACAGTACCCAAGATTCTAGACAAGGTTGGCTGGGTTCTCTACAACACAGTGGGGTGACAAGAGACAGACAGGCTGGGTACAGACACAAGGTGGGTGACGGCACATGGGCTAGACCATGGCTGGGCAGGGACACACTCGGCTACACAACGTTCCACTGGCAGCAAAACCACCTGTGCTCGACACATACCTACTCACTGACAGGAGAGAAAGTGAGTGTTGGCCTCACACCCAGCTCTGCATGGAGTAAGTAAGGCCAGGGTCAGGGATCCCTGACCTTTAGGGGCTGTATCCTCAGGCCATGCAGATACCTATCTTCCCTGACCAAGTGAGCAGAAGGAACGCATAGGCATCACCTATCCCAACCACAGACCCCAAACTCATTCTGCTCTAATTCTGATTCTCCTGGATTTGGGTCTGGGGTCAGGGTTCAAGCAGACACGCACACCTGCAAAGGCCCTAGGAGCCTCGGGTGGGTACAGTGTGCAGGACAGGACTGGATCCAGCCCCTACGAATCATGTCCACAACAGTGCTCCCACCCTGCACTGCGTGCTGAATGCCTCTCTTCCTGCACTACCCAGTCAGGTCCTAAGGGCCATCCAAAGTCAGGCAGCTCCACCTACTGGCCACAGGTGGCCCTAGGCACGGAGCAGGAACCCAAGTCCACCCGGACAGGAGTGAGGGTGGTATGATAATCAGAGAGGACAGAGGTGTGTAGGATGCTGGCACATGTGCACTCTGGGCCTTAGTGAGGTGGACACTGTGGGAACATGTGTCTGTGCAGCTGGCAGCTGTGTCCTGTGGCCCTCTCTACAGGGTAGAAGCCTCGGGGTCCAGAGTGGACAGTGAACCCTGACTCCAAGCAGCAGATCTCACCCACTGGGAAGCCTCAAACAAGCACTGACCCTCTGACCATATCTGACCAATCTTTGGTGTAAACCTACCAGCCTTGTCCCTCTTTGACTATTGTAAGGTGAGACCAAGAGGGCACCTACCAGCCCCCAAAACTTAAGGAAGATGAAGGAGGAGAACCATCTGTGCCAGCCCCTGGGGGATTGAGAAGCTGGCCTTGGAACTGCCACTTACCAGCACATCTGGGAGCACCAGTGCGGTCAACAGACGGCCATGCACAGCTGTGTCCCTGGCCAGCATGTACAGCCGCTCAGCCTCCGCAAAGCAAGTGACATCGAGCACCACTGCACCTGCAACAGGTGGGAAGTGGCTCAGGGCACAGATGTCCTGTGTACCCCACTCCCACAGTGCCCAGGGTGGGGCCTATCCTGTGCACCCCTCCCCCCATATGTAGGGCAAGGTCTGTTCTGTGCACCCTGCCCACAGGACACCTAGGCAGGGTCTGCACCACATGTACCAGCCCTGATTCTGACCACAGCCAGCTCAGATAAGTCCACCAAAAGTGCCATCTGCAGGGTGTACCCTGTGGATCCCCAAGGGGTACTTCTAAGGAAAGCTGGGCTCTGTACCCAGCAATGGGCAGTGAGGCCCATACCCCTCACCACCATCCTCACATCCAGGAACAGGCTATGAGCACTGCAGGTGTGTGCCTGTCCTGGGGCATGCTGGTAGAAGAGGATGATGGTGTTTCTGAAACCTTCCCGAACAGCAGATGCAGAACAGGGTTTGGAGAAAAACAGGTGAGCCTCAGCCACATCTTAGCAAAAGCACTGGACGTGGACAAGAAGCAAAACCAGGCATATTTCCTGAAGCACAGCTCTTGCAGAAAGAAGCAAGCTCTAAAGGAGGGAGAAAAGGTGGGCTGTTCTACTCCACCCCAGGAATGTCCTTCGGGGTGGCAACTCACCTTGGGAGGGGTAGACGTGACTCACGGACACCACAGCGGCTGCACAGACAGGTTTCGGTCAGGGGTGCACAGTGCTGAAGCCCAGGCCCAGCCTCCCATTCTGAGTGTTCATATCCAGGACACAGCTTACCCCAGGCAGCCCCTGCCAAACCTCTGGGGGCAGCCCCACAGGGAGGACCTACTCCAGAACAGGGTCCCCGGCCCCTGAAGGCACAGGGACACCCAGAAGGAGCAGCAGATACCAGAAACTTTGGGGGACAACCACAGAAAAGGCCAGAAGCCCCTCAGAGGTGGTGATGTGTGGGCTGGGCCTGGAGTGCAAACTGAGCTTGGGGTTCAGATGGCGCATGGGGAGGCAAGAGGACCCAGATTCAGCATCACAGCCCTTAGTCAGAACCCAAACCCAGCCAGTATCCCTGGCCGGCCCAGGGTCACACCTTTGATGGCCATGGCCTCGTGCAGCAGGTTTCTGTACTCCTGGGGGGACAAGCCAGGTGGTAGACCACCCACGAGCAGGGAGATATGTGGGGCCACTGTCCTGCTCTCAGTCACGTAGAACCGCGTCTGGCTCACCTGGCGCACAGATGTCTGTGGGTAAAAGGGGATGTGGGATTCTGGACAGCACTGCCAACACCAGTTCCTCCATCCTCCTTGCCCACCCCAGGGGCACTGGGAAGATTCCCCCAGATTGAACTAAGACAGAACCAGAAGGAAGGAGCCCAGCCCACCTCTCAGGGAACTAAGGCAGTCTGAGGCTTAAGGCCTCCTTGCTGGGGACACATGACATGTAATGAAGGCCACTGCCTGCCAGGGCTATCAGTTGCACTGTGGGGAAGACGCAGGGTCTAGGGAGAGACACTCCTCTGTGGGGATGAGGCTGTTGCTCAGGGCTAGCAGCTCCCTGGAGGCTGCTGTCCACATCCACTGACCTGTCGGATGTCCCGAAGCCAGTCTAGTAGGGGCTCCTCATCTGCCAGCACTGTCCGCTGGACTGCAGGATTGAGAGGCACAGCCATCAGCACTGGGCTTCTTTCTCCTCACCTCTGCAACAGCTTCTGAGACCCCAGGGCATGTGGGGATGCAGGAAGGACCAGTGGATACTGGCTGGAAGTGCAGGGGCTGGCCCTAATGTGCTGTTAACACCCCCACAGGGGCTCCTGAGGCAGCAGGCCCAGGTCCCAGCTATGTACAGTGACCAGAGGAACACCACCCGAACTGCCCACTCACCTTGCCTACTGCCCATGAGCACCTCAACCAGCTGGAAGCTCTCAGGATCCTCAGCCTGTGCAGCAGGGATGGGGTGTCAGGCCTGGGGCTAACCCCTCACCCAAGGACACCCCCAAGGACAGTGGTTTGCCCCACTGGGTAGAACTGGGCAAGCCTAGAGTACATACCTGTCGTCCAAACAGCGGGAGGACCTCTAGCACCACAGCCCGTGCTGTGCTCTGTGGGGTCACACGGATGGACACGTAGGCCACACCCACCCTGTAGGGGACAGGCTCAGAGCTCAGGCTCTGAGTCCCCCACCTACCCCCCCCCCACCCAACAGACCCTGAGTCTTGGGTCTCACTTGAGCCAGCCAGGATAGATCTTAAGGACCTCCTGGGCACGAGGCAAAGCCCGGATGACCCAGGCCTCAGGAGTGGGCTCTCGGGGCCCAGAGCCTCTGCTGCCCTCCTCAGTGGTCCCATTACTCCCGGCCTTCCCCGGGGCCTGGGCATCGCCAGTCAGTGGGGGCAGGGGCAGTGCCTGTAGCTCAAAGTCCTGAGGGTCCTCGCTGATATAGTAGGCCCGTAGTGCCACCTCCTACAGTGTGGGGTCAGGTGAGGGAGAAAGTAGGGGAGGGGAGGTGTGAGGGGCCAAGTGGGGGGGGCCGGCCTCGCAGACACCCTAGCCCCCACCTATAGGCTCCCTCTTACCAGCACCTCCTGGCTGCTGGCCAGGCGGGGAAGTGTGACCAGGCGGAACTGGTTTCTCCTCATGGTATCATTACCATCAAAGATCTTCAGGGTCTGCTTGCCTGGGCCAGGGGGAAGCAGCTGAGAATCCAAGGGGTTGGAACAGATGGGGATGGGGTGGTGGCTCAAAGAGGCACTCACTGGAGTCCAGAGCTGCCAGCGTCTCTCTGCTAGGGCCTGTGGCAGCACTTCCATCCAGGCTGTCTTCTCCATCACCTGCAGCATGGACAAGGACCTCACAGCCAGTTCCTACCCCAGCCCAGGGCACACATCCAACCCAACCCAACCCCACCTCACCTGGTTCCGGGCCAGCGGTCTCAGGGATGCGGAAGCAATGCATTTTGCTGAAGTTGCGGGACAACAGGCGCACACAGGTAGGAGGCAGCACCATGGAGCGCAGGCGTCCAAATGAGCACTCGGGTGCAAGCACAGCGGAGCACACTGAGTGGGCCTGGGAGAAGGCGGTATGATCCAGGCACCTGGGCAGGAAGCTGGACCACTGTGCCTCCACCAGAAGGTGCTGAGCACCCACACGGATGGCACACAGGAGCCAGGCAGGTGCCACACGGGCCCAGATGGGGGATTCCCCCACCCACTGGGAAAACAACACAATGCAGGTGATCAATGGACCCCCCCACACACACCTGGACCTCCATCTAGACTCCGTACCGCTCTTGCTCCACCCCCAGAGACCCGTCTCCCTTCCCATCCCATCCCTGCACCCACCTGGATCCCACACCACTCGCAGCGCACACCAGCAAGCACATCTGAGGAGCCACACGTCTTCCTGCAGACCTCACACCGTGCACCAGAAGGCAGGTTCCCCTCCCGCCAGTGGTGCTGGTAGGTGTCCTAGGGAGGGGGGGCAGTCAGTGGCTCGGCTTGCCACTCCCCCCCTTTGCTCACATCTGGGCACCTGTGCACTCACATGGTCCTGGTGCCCATCCTGGTGGCACTGGCGACAGTCGCTGCAGGCGAATGGCACACAGTCGGGGTGAACGTGCAGCTCACACACTGGGGGGTGGGTAGGGTTAGGGGCCTCTCGCGACCTCCCACTGGGGCTGGGGCCCGACCCCAATTCCTGCCACCTGGAACCCCACTTCCTTTAGCCTAACAATCTAACAGCTCCCTGCCTAGTGCACTCCTGTGGCCCAAGCTCCCTGGGCCAGCCCTGCACCTCCCACCTATGCCCCTGACAAACCACAGGTGGGGGAGGGCTGGGCCACTTGGGCCTGGCTCTCACACTGGGGGTTGGGCAGGGTTAGAGGCCTCTCACAACCTCCCACTGGGGCTGGGTCCCAACCCCAACCACTGCCACCTGGAACCCTGCCTCCCTTTAGCCTAACAGGTCCCTACCCAGTGCACCCCTGTGACCCAAGTCAGCCCTGCACCTCCCACCCTTGCCCCTGATAAACCACAGGCAGGGGAGGGCTTGACTATCATGGGCAGCAGCGTCCAGGCCTCTGGGTGAGGGACTCAGACCCAAGAGGGCCACCAGGGCCCAGTGGTACCTTCACAGCGGAACGCAGGTACCTCCAGGCCCTTCCGACAGACCCCACAGAACTTGCGCTTATAGAGTCCACGGGGGCCAAAGCAGTGAGCTACAGGAACCTGCAGGGGCAGAGCAAGCTTTGGAACTGGGCCTGCCTGGTCCTGCACCCTCACTCTCGCTTCCCTGAATGCACTGGCCTAGGGTCTACCTGCCACTCTCTGTAGAGACCAACCCAGGCTGCCTGCAGGGGACTGCTTGAGCAGAGCGGGTCACTATAACTTCACTCCCACAGTCATGTGAGCACAGATGCAAGAGGCTCACCTGCCATCCACATTTCCCTCCATAGACCAGCAAGGCTTTCAACTGCCAGGCACCTATCTGCCCGGATGTAGGGGCTCCTGACAACCCCTATGTCTGCCCTCTGGAAGGCAATCAGGCCACAAGGACTGTGAATATGCAGTGTCACACTGCCTTTCTCTAAGAGCAGATGGGGAAGGCATGAGGTCTTCACTCTGACCCTTGTCCTTATCCTGATGCTTAAGTTAAAATATGTACAATGAGAACAAACAAAAATTCTGCACACTAAAATGGCAATGGTTGGCATGCCAGAATGATGGGTGGTTTCTATTTTCTTTATAAATATTTATATCCTCTAAATCATCATCATGTGTATTTTGAAATCATACTTGTCTTTTTAAAATTTAGTAAAGCAAAAAAAAAAAAAGATCAACATTAGAAAACTGCAGCCTCAGGATGTCCACAGGAGGGACCACCCTGGCCATCCAGGCATCCTGAGGATGCCAACGACCACCAGGAACAGCATCCTTCTGCCCTCGCATCTGTTAACGAAAAGTCCCCAACACAACATCAAACACTGCAGGGCAGACAGCGTAGCCAGACACGGTTCAGTGCAGGTTCACAAGCTGGCCTCATCTCCCCTTACCTGCAACACATGAGCCCATGTCACACGGCCACATGCCCTGGACTCTGCCCACCACTGCACCAGAAGGTAGGTCCCATTTCCCAGAACATGGAGGAAAGAAGGCAGGCAAATTGGGAGGTGGTGGGGCCCCAGTGTGCAGTGGGCAAGGCTGACAACTGATGGAATAGTCAGCCCTTTGCTTCCTAAACTAACACGAAGGACAGTCAGGGGTCAGCACTTGGACCCATTAGTCACACGCGCTGCCCTCCACACTCACCCGCACCAGGCTGGGCACGACGCTCGTGCATGGAGTCTTCACCTGCTTCAGGCACTTCTCATGAGACATAAAGTTGCAGACTGTGGGAGGAGAGCCACATCAGTCTATTCAGCCCAGGAGACTGGAGCTCAGTCTTGGCCAGCAGGGCCAAGGACCACAGTGGGGCACCAGCATCCCACATCAAGGTTTGGTGCCAGTCAGAAGAGGGCCATTCTGCCAGTGCTGATGGGAAAAGTTCCTGCCCTGGGCCAGTCAGTCATTGCAGCCTCATGAGCACACTGCTGGCTGAGGTGCTGCCTGGCCCCTCCCGCCCAGCCAGCACTTAGTGCACACTGCCTTTGGTGCCTCAGTGATCTGCCCCAGGGGTGGTTACAGGAACAAAGGAAAGGGCCTACATGTGAGGGACAGGGGCCACTCTCAGGACAACAAGGCACATTCATCTTCCAGGATGGCCATAGCACCAGACCCTGGCTGTAAGATCCTGTGGATGAGGACAGGAAACATGGTGCTGCCAACTGACTCCACGATGAGGGCAGCTGGGGGTGGGGGATGGGAATGGCCTCCCCACCATTCAGTAGGACAGGATGGACAGGCTGCAGGGACAGAGGAGCATGATTGCCAAGACTAGCTGGGGTGACACTGCTCACCCACAGGGTTCCAGTTGGCACCCCCTGCCTGTTACAATCCTGGCCACCTCAGTCCTATAAGGGAAGGACAGAAGCTCTTCAATGGGTGCCCCAGAAAAATTTCTGGAGGGCAGCTGGGGTCTGAAGAGAGAAGTGGGAGTTGAGGAGGAAGATCACATACCCAATAGGAGTCTCTCCCAGGGCACCCCACGCATTCCACCTTGAAGGTACAGCCAGCTGCCTCCTCTGCCTCCCAACACCCCCACGCTTTGGGTGCTCCTGCAGGGGGAAGGGCCTCTGCTTCCCACACCCTTGCCAGGCCCTGTTTGCATGAATCTCAGCTCACTCTCCATGGACACTGCTCAGGAGGGAATCTGCCATCATTGTCTGAGCACCAGGCCAGCCCCTCAATGGGCTGCTTTGCCCCAGGACTATAGGGGCTCCTGACCATGCAGACCTACTGCCCCAGGGAGGTCACACTTGTGAGAGAACCTGGAGACTAGCTTTAGACTTCATATCATTCACCTCTACAGGGATCCCGAGTCTACCCTCAGACCTGTAGTTTACCTTCACGGCCTTTTACCTCTACATGGACTAGATTAAGACCTGGAGCTCTGCCTCCTATGTCTTTCACCTGTGCAGTGAATCCAGTGGTCTAGTCTTCTACCTGCAGCCCTGCCCTGCCTTGCCTTTCCTACCTCTCACCTGTACATGAGGTCCTGAGGTCTAGCCTTGGATCTGGAGCTGACTCAGCCTGCACCTCCGTGGAACCCCAGACACTCCCAGAGGGTAAATAGGGCCATATAATTGTTCCAATCTGAAGGGACAACCCTGTATATCAGCTGGTCAGCCCTGGGAGTCAAGACAACCATACCATTTCTGCTAGCAGACAGCATCCCTGTGTGATTGGGTCTGGCCTGAGTGCTACCGCCCCAGAGAAAAAAGTGGTCTCTCTGAGCAGGGTAGAGGCTCTTCAGCTGGCCCCACCTGGCCAGGACAGAAGTACATTAGCCCTACACTGTCTGGGCTGTGGGCTCCAGGGCCTGCCTGCCTGCAGGAGGAAGGACAAGAAAAGGTGCTAGCCATGGAAGCACCCAGCAGAGGAGGGTGGGACACTTGGGCCCAGCCTGGCCGGCTTGACAGCTGGGTGAGAACCGTGTTGGAACATGCCACACCTGGGAGAAGGGCCCAGGTTCTCCACGCAGCTGGGAAGAGCTACATTCCTCAGGACAAAAATGACCAGGACCCTTGGCCCAGGTCAGCCCTGCTTGGCCACTCCTGCTTAGGAGCCTCAGAAGCCAGACATGGACCCCAGAGGTCCCACTTGCCTCAGGCCAGATGGCTCTATCCCTAGGCTCTGCGCTGCCCGGATAAGTCACCCTGCCTCACGCAGCCCCACTGGACCCCAACCATAGAGCTGCTGCTCTGGTGACACTGCTACCACCCCTAAGGGGCCTGGCGACACACGCAAGGGGTCACCCCTAATCCCACACCCCCGGAAGAGAAGGCGTCACCTCCAGAGGGAGGTCCTGTCCACGGGCCTGTCCCCGAGGCCACTGCCGGGAAAAGCAACGCTCAAAGATCAGGGCCGTGTCCCCGCCGCGAGGGCAGGAGCTCTGGGGTACGGCCTCGGGCCGCGGGGCGGGCGCTCACCGTCGCACAAAAAGCCGGCCAGCCCCCAGATGAAGTCGGAGCAGAGGTGGCAGAAGGTGGGCTTGGTGAGCGTCACCTTGCGGAAGCTGTGGCCCGGCGCGGCGGAGCCCGTGGTTCTGCCAGTCCGTTCTGGCCCCGAGCCCGGGCGTGCGCGGCCTCTGGCGCCCAGCACGGGACTGCAGGCCGGGCTGCCAGGGCGCGGGGAGCCGTCGCCCGGCCAGGCGCGCGCCCCGGGCTCGGCCGCCGCCGCCATCCCCGGCCCGAGCGCCCGAGCCCCGGCGGCGGGCGAGGCCGGGTGGGCGCAGCTCAACCCGCCCGCAGCAACCCCGGCGCCCGGCTTCCGACTGCGCCGCCCACTGCGCAGGCTCTCGCGGGCGGGGCCAGAATCGCGGGATGGCAGGGGCGGGGCCTTGCGGTCAGGGGGCGGGGCCTCCCGATGGACCACGCTGGGCTGCGTGGGGCTGGAAGGGGCCTGGTATCGGGGCGGGGGCTTGGCGGGGCGGGGCGGGGCCTCGTGGGAGGCGGGGCCCCCAAGAGCCCAGGTTCGAGCCACGCGGGCCTGGCAGTCTGGAGAAGGGTGGTGGTCCGCATGGGCTCGGACCACATGACAGCCAGGGCCAGCCGGGACTGGACCAGATTTCCCCGCGTGCCGTCTCGCATCCCCCACACCACTGACAGTCGCCTCCCACGTGGGACGCGAATACTCATGACAGGCTGGGTTCCAGGGCGCAGCCCAAACCCTTGGGACCCCAGGTCCGGGAGAAGGACAGGACAGGAGTAGAGACTGCTCCGAGATTGAGGCCTCAACAGAGTCCTGGGAAGCGGGGTTTGCGCTGACCCTGCCCTGCCCAGAAGCTTGGTGTGACCACAGAAGAGGCCTTGGAGCCGCTTTGTCCCTGTGGGTGTAGTGTGGCTGTTCCCACCTTTGAGGAGAAGAGATTCCCTACAGGAACACTCATACTTGGTAGGGAACCTCAGCTGGGCCTCTTGACCCCCAAAGAAAGACCTTTCCCCTATAGCACACCCAGGTCTGGAACGGGTTAGAGTCCTGTCCCAGCAAAGGGGCAGCCCCAGAACTCATGACATCTTGTCCAAGTGCTGGTGACTTTGGGGCCATGTATACACATCTCCCTGCTCCTACTGCCAGCACCACCCAAGGGCTCCGGTACTGTGCACCTACGGATTAGAGTTGGGGAGGCTTCACTGACATGGTGGGCCAGAGGGCTCCTGACCTCCAGCCTTCAGCTGTCAGAGTAGGGACCTGCAGGGCCAGAGCAGCATGGTCCCAGGGGAAGGGAAAAACCAGGAGAGGCACAATCAGGAGAGGGTAATGTGCCAGAACCTCCAGGAGGGAGACAGGGAAGCCTGCCCTGGGGACGGCTTTACTCAGGTAGGCAGGCCTATGTACAGGAAAGAAGGTGACACCAGGGACTGGTCGAATGGCAAAGAACAGATCCCTAAAATGCTAGGAGAGACTCAGCCCTCTACAGTCCACTACAGGACTTGTCTACTCCAGCATCGGCTGTGGGCAAGGCCCAGGCAGGCCCAGGACAGGACTCAAAGGATATGACCTACCTTGCTGGAGCTGTGTCTGAGGCAGACAGACCACAGACTGAAGGATAAACAAGGCTAGACTGGCCAATGGCTCATGGATAGAGGAGCCTGGACTGAGTGACCAGGAGAATTTGGGAAAAGCATCCAGGCAGGAGGAACAGTGAGTATGGAGGCCCAGCCGGGGGGTCAAGGAAAAGAAAAGGCATCATTTTTTAGGGATTCCTCAGTCCAGCATCCAGTGGGACAGCCTCTCCCACTCTTCTTTCTGTTCTTCACCCTCCAGCTGAGCCAGAGAGGACACCACCCCCCCCCCAGTCGCCACCCTCTTTCCTTGACTCCTCAGCACCCACTTCTGGCTTCAGTCAGACCATACCACCTGTACCCGTGCTCAGCCAGGCCCAGGTCCCAGGTGAGAGACAGGCCTCAGGCCCTACTTGGAAGGGCTGTGGCCCAGCCATGGTGCCCACAAGAAGGCAGAGGCTCACCGAAGCCCACTTCCATAGCTGACATCACAGCTGACTTTTAAGGAAAAGCAGTATCCAAGTACCTCCTCCTCCACTCAGGAGAAAGTACAGTGCATGGGAGACATCTTAAAAAGGAAACTCCACATCTGACTGTCTCTACAAAACTTTGTTTTCTGACCAGCATGTCCATTAAAATGATCTGCAAACAATACTCTCTCACCAGACCTCCTGTGAGCTTTCTAAATGCCTTCCCAAACACTTAGCAGCTTGTTGTGGAAGATGCCCTAAAACTTGGCATATCTGCCTGAACACAGTACCCACCAGACAGGAACCGTCTGTACACATCCACAGTAGTCCTGGGGTACAGCCTCCCTCTTACAGGTGCCTCCAGGCCCTTGGCCGTTCTGGTCTCTGGGATTGTCTCTCCCATCCCCTCTCTCATGGTGAGCTCAGGTTCCATAATAAAATCCCCTGGACTGGGAGGCTTTCTGTTCTGCACCCTCCAGCTGAAGGCACCTGAAGAGCAGGTGAGTTCATTTCTCACAGTTCTGGGGACTGGAAGTCCAGGATCAGCACACCGGCATGGCCAGGTTCTGGTGAGAGCTCAGTTCTCTCCTTGCTCCAAGGAAATCACCATGCACTATCATGGTGAAATTGTGTCCCCAAGTTCATATGTTGGAATCCTAACCCTCAGTGCCTGAGAAAGTGACCTTAGTTGCAGATAGGGACTTTACAGAGGTAATCAGGTTAAAGCGAGGTCATTAGGGTGGGCCTAATCTAACAGGACTGACTGGTGTCCTCATGGAAAGGGGAAACTTGGAACAGACAGACCCCAGGGAGAACACCATGTGAAAATGAAGGCAGAGGCAGGTGATGCTTCCCCAAGTCAAGGATCGGAGCCACCACCAGGAGCTGCAGGGAGGTCTGGGACAGATTCCCCCTGTCAGCCTCAGAAGGAACCAGCTCTCCCCACACCTTGATCTCAACTTCCAACCTCTAGGACTGTGAGAGTATACATTTCTGTGGTTAAAGTCTTGGAGATCCATGGTGCTTTGTTACCATGGCCCTAGAACTCATAGACAGGTTGGCTGTGCAAGACTGCCATGAACCCACACGGAAATTTGATAATTGGCTTCTTTCTCTCAAAGTCTTGTCTGTGAGCTCCGCGGATCAGTCTTTTTATCTGCTGCTGTAAACTGAATTGTGCATTAATTGCTGGTACCTCATTGCGGGAACTGTGTATAGTCTGTTTATTCTATTGTCAGTGTGCTTGGGGCTATCCCAGGCTTTTGCTGGTATGCAAAATGTTTCATGAACATTCTGGTCCTTGTGTCTGGAAACCACATGTCATCCACACCCCGCTGGAGTGACACACAATGTCATAGGATGTGCTACATTGACTTTAGAAGCTGAAGCCAAACTGCTTCCCAAACATCCACACAGAAATTAAAGTCTATACTCCACCAGCCATGTGGAGTCTTCCCTGTGTTGCTCAACACAGTCTTCCCTGTGTTGCTCACTTTTCCAACTTTGGACACTCAGGTTCACATTCTAGGCCCTCTGGTCAGGGCTCAAGGGTGTCTTCGTACAGTTTGACCTCCTCAGATGGCAGAGGGGATTCACCCTGTTCCAATTGCCCCCCAAGTTTAGCATTTTGGTGAGGCTCACCATCTTGGCCGTTTCCTACAAGGTTCTTTTCCCTAGCTCTTAAGAGTTCCTTATGTCCTCTGCAGGGGTCATCTGGTCAGTCACAGCTGGCGGTCATTCTCTGTAGTAGTTTGAGTCTGGTAGTTCTGGTCCATAAAGAGCTGTACAGACAGCTCCCTGCAGATGCTGAAGGGAGCTGCACCACTATCCTCCGGGGACAGAGTTAGGTTCTGGCAGCCTTGTCACAGTTCTGGCACTTGATGGATACAGAACCCCACTTCCTGTGTGCTTCTGTTTCAGGACGCCTTGTAACATGTCATATACAGCAGACTTGGCACCTTCCCCTGTGGGCAGGCAGCTTCCTGACAGACACTTGTCATTTCTCATAAGGACATCATCACAGCTGGAGAGCACAAAATAGCACTCAGCACTGTGCTGAAGCACAAAATGCGGAAAACACGACAGTAAAGGGACAGTGAGAAGGACACTGCTAATAGTAAGTGTCAGACAAGAAGCAGCCCATGGCCATTTCCCCAGTGGGAACCTGTGTGTCAGCAGCTCAAATTTTTCTTTGCTCTGAGCATGTCCCTGAATGACTGTGAAACACAGTGACTATTGATTTTGGGATAAAAAACACATTTAGCAAGTGTGTGGATTTGCAAATTCAGAACCTGTGAATGAGACAGTCCAACTCTATGTGTCACACAGGCCACACCTCCCCACAGCAGGGCTGTCCTGTCACAGTCCTGGAGACTGGAAGACATCCACTGTCACCTGCAGAGGTGACTAGTGATGTTCCTGGTTCCATGTCTGAGTGGCCAGCCTCTCCCTTCCTGAGGGTCTGTGTGTCCTGTGTGAGCACCTGCCTCCTGAGGTCACCATGTGCGCCTGTCTATAGGAGAAGGTGGTTCACCACACACACATCTGGAGTACCCAGGACTGATCCAGGTGGAGTGTGAGAAGGGCTGGGGTCCTGTTTTACCAACTGTCCAAGGACCCAGTGCTGTTAAGGGGCTGCTCTTCCTCACAAGATAGGCAGCCAGGTCAGCACACTGCTGAAGCCTGTCCATGCTCAGATAGCCTGAAGCAGTCTTGGCTGTCTTCAAGAAGAAATGCAACTTAATTACTACAGAATCTGGTACACATGTATTTGAAATGAGAGCAGAAATCAGAACAAATTAAACAATTTTTAAAAGCTGACTAAAACTGTAAACATCACAAAAGCCAATTTTTATTCATTACTACTTGCTACATGGTATTTTTTACCTACATTTATATTTAAATATCATTTTCCAAGGAGAAAAGAGATTATTTAGCCCCTCCAGCATGGCTGATTGAAAACAAGGGTGACACATTCTACAGAAGCTGTACATGTCAACCCTCACTGGCTCTCGTTCACAGCTGGGAGAACATGGCTCCATTTCCCATCTGAGAGCTGGAGCTTCTAGGATTGGTGACTGACATAAAATGTGCTCTGGTGCACAGTGCAACGTCATGTTCTTGTTACCCTGGGCTCTGGAATGTCAACACTTCCTGATTCATCAGCAAGACCTTCAGTGCTTATCCAAGAGCCCCTGTGAGTCACTCGCTCCCTGTCATCAGGTGCATACTGCTCCTGGAAGCTGATTCTACTCCAGAATGCCTGGCCTTTGCTCCAGTGTGACAGGAAGTGA